GTAGTGTTGGAGGAGAGCGAGAGAGAAAAGGATACAAAGTAGTGGTCGGAGACATGGAGGGGAGTTGCAGTGAGATTAGTAGAAGAACAGCATCTAGTAAAGATGAGGTCAAGCGTATTGCCTGCCTTGTGAGTAGGGGGGGACGGTGAGAGGGTGAGGTCAAAAGAGGAGAGGAGTGGAAAGAAGGAGGCAGAGAGAAATGAGTCAAAGGTAGACGTAGGGAGGTTGAAGTCCCCCAGAACTGTGAGGGGTGAGCCATCCTCAGGAAAGGAACTTATCAAGGTGTCAAGCTCATTGATGAACTCTCCAAGGGAACCTGGAGGGCGATAAATGACAAGGATGTTAAGCTTAAATGGGCTAGTGACTGTGACAGCATGGAATTCAAATGAGGAGATAGACAGATGGGTCAGGGGAAAAATATAGAATGTCCACTTGGGAGAGATGAGGATTCCTGTGCCACCACCCCGCTGACCAGATGCTCTCGGGGTATGCGAGAACACATGGTCAGACGAGGAGAGAGCAGTAGGAGTAGCAGTTTTTTCAGGGGTAATCCATGTTTCCGTCAGCGCCAAGAAGTCGAGGGACTGGAGGGTAGCATAGGCTGAGATGAACTCTGCCTTGTTGGCAGCAGAACGGCAGTTCCAGAGGCTGCCTGAGACCTGGAACTCCACGTGGGTGGTGCGTGCAGGGACCGCCAGGTTAAAGAGGCAGCAGCCACGCGGTGTGAGGCGTTTGTATAGCCTGTGCGGAGAGGAGAGAACAGGGATAGACAGAGGCATAGTTGACAGGCTACAGAAAATGGCTACAATAATGCAAAGGAGATCGGAATGAAATGAACTAAACATCTGGGAAAGGAGAGAGCGGGGCCTCCCTCACCACAACACCCAAATATAACTCTCCCAACTTTCACCTCAGAAACTATAATTGTTGTAAACTACAGCGGTTCAATGTTTTCTAGGAATAGACTAACTTAGTTTATTCAGCTAGCTAACTTGGTACAGTATTCTTCCGTGAAAATCGTCCAGGGCACCTAGTCATAAGACGCCACAGCCAGCTAGCATGCCGGACTCCAACAACACGGTTTAGCACCAATACTCGGTCACAACAAACCAGCAGTGTGTCAACACGCCAAGCAGATCGTTCGTGTCCGTGTCTAACGTTGTGGGTTAGTCCCGACAGCTTGAGCGAGTCCGTCGTCAACTTATTCAGCCAGTTAGTTAGCTAGAATAGTTAGCAAACTAGCTATCCATTGCTTTCAGACAAAGAAGAAACCCCTCCTTTCACAGCACGAACACACAGAGAGAGCCAAGCTAACGTCAACTAGTCACCCATGTCCCGAATTCCTTGAACGACTCTGGCTACCAATATGTAAAAACAAAACACAAATGTAGGTTATGACTTACCCCTAGCAGCTACTATTAACTAGCCAAGTGCAAAGCTAGCCACTGAATTGAATCAGCCAGTTCGCGTCTGTTCGCTAGGTCGTTCCAGCTATTGTTTACTAGATGAGTGTACCTAATAAACTGGCCGTTGTGTGTAAGTTATCCTGTGAGAACTTTTGTTCAGAACCCATTACGGTGTTTCAGGTGCCAAGTGTATGGTCATGTTGCAGCAGTATGTAGGAGGGAGATTCCGAGGTGTGAAAAGTGTGCAGGAGGCCATGGGACAAAAGAGTGTGTAGTTTATGTGTAAAAAGTGGAGTGTTCCAATTGTGGTGGTGGCCATGTTGCTGGGGATCAGACATGTCCTGTGCGAGTGAGACAGATTGAAGTTTCCAGGGTGAGAGCAGTGCAGAAAGGAACATACAGTGGGGAAAAAAATTACAATTGTGCAAGTTCTCCCACTTAAAAAGATGAGAGAGGCCTGTAATTTTCATCATAGGTACACGTCAACTATGACAGACAAATTGAGATTTTTTTTCTCCAGAAAATCACATTGTAGGATTTTTTATGAATTTATTTGCAAATTATGGTGGAAAATAAGTTTTTGGTCACCTACAAACAAGCAAGATTTCTGGCTCTCACAGACCTGTAACTTCTTCTTTAAGAGGCTCATCTGTCCTCCACTCGTTACCTGTATTAATGGCACCTGTTTGAACTTGTTATCAGTATAAAAGACACCTGTCCACAACCTCAAACAGTCACACTCCAAACTCCACTATGGCCAAGACCAAAGAGCTGTCAAAGGACACCAGAAACAAAATTGTAGACCTGCACCAGGCTGGGAAGACTGAATCTGCAATAGGTAAGCAGCTTGGTTTGAAGAAATCAGCTGTGGGAGCAATTATTAGGAAATGGAAGACATACAAGACCACTGATAATCTCACTCGATCTGGGGCTCCACGCAAGATCTGACCCCGTGGGGTCAAAATGATCACAAGAACGGTGAGCAAAAATCCCAGAACCACACGGGGGGACCTAGTGAATGACCTGCAGAGAGCTGGGACCAAAGTAACAAAGCCTACCATCAGTAACACACTACGCCGCCAGGGACTCAAATCCTGCAGTGCCAGACGTGTCCCCCTGCTTAAGCCAGTACATGTCCAGGCCCGTCTGAAGTTTGCTAGAGTGCATTTGGATGATCCAGAAGAGGATTGGGAGAATGTCATATGGTCAGATGAAACCAAAATATAACTTTTTGGTAAAAACTCAACTCGTCGTGTTTGGAGGACAAAGAATGCTGAGTTGCATCCAAAGAACACCATACCTACTGTGAAGCATGGGGGTGGAAACATCATGCTTTGGGGCTGTTTTTCTGCAAAGGGACCAGGACGACTGATCCGTGTAAAGAAAAGAATTAATGGGGCCATGTATCGTGAGATTTTGAGTGAAAACCTCCTTCCATCAGCAAGGGCATTGAAGATGAAACGTGGCTGGGTCTTTCAGCATGACAATGATCCCAAACACACCGCCCGGGCAACGAAGGAGTGGCTTCGTAAGAAGCATTTCAAGGTCCTGGAGTGGCCTAGCCAGTCTCCAGATCTCAACCCCATAGAAAATCTTTGGAGGGAGTTGAAAGTCCGTGTTGCCCAGCGATAGCCCCAAAACATCACTGCTCTAGAGGAGATCTGCATGGAGGAATGGGCCAAAATACCAGCAACAGTGTGTGAAAACCTTGTGAAGACTTACAGAAAACGTTTGACCTGTGTCATTGCCAACAAAGGGTATACAACAAAGTATTGAGAAACTTTTGTTATTGACCAAATACTTATTTTCCACCATAATTTGCAAATAAATTCATTAAAAATCCTACAATGTGATTTTCTGGATTTTCTTTTCTCATTTTGTCTGACATAGTTGATGTGTACCTATGATGAAAATTACAGGCCTCTCTCATCTTTTTAAGTGGGAGAACTTGCACAATTGGTGGCTGACTAAATACTTTTTTCCCCACTGTATGCTGATGTAACAGCTGTCCCACAAAGACAAATAAGACTGGTCTCGGCACCAGTGTAACAGATGTGATTGTACTCTCTTGCATTGTGTTTTTAAAGACAGGACTGTTTATTCTTTTCTTTTCAGATGTTATTTTATATTTTATAAACAAATACAAAACAACATCATACAAACATCAGTACATCACACCTGCTCAGACCCACTAACACACCCCACCTCCAGCGCCCACATCACTTTCAACTACATGGCCTGAAACTGCACCTCCAGCGCCCACATCACTTTCCACTACATGGCCTGAAACTGCACCTCCAGCGCCCACATCACTTTCCACTACAGGGCCTGAAACTGCACCATTTTGTTTCTCTCCATAGCACTTTCGATATTTAAAGAATAAATCATTAGATTTTTCCATTGTGTAAATGATGGTGGATTGATTGATTTCCACATCTATAGTATACGTTTTTCCAAGACGAGTGATGAGAAGTGTTGGTGTTCATTCTGACGATAGACACAAGGAAGCACATTAGATGTGCAGGACAACAGTATGTTGGTGGCAGTGGAGGCTGGTGGGAGGAGCTATAGGAGGATGGGCTCATTGTAATGGCTGGAATGGAATAAATGGAATGAAGTCAAACGTGTGGTTTCCATGTTTGATGTGTTTGATACTGTTCCATTTATTCTATTCAAATCAAATGTTATTTGTCACATGCGCCGAATACAACAGGTGTAGACCTTACTGTGAAATGCTTTCTTACAAGCCCTTAACCAACAATGCAGTTCAAGAAATAGAGAAAATATTTACTAAATAAACTAAAGTAAAACATTTAATAAAAAGTAACACAATAAAATAACAATAATGAGGCTACATACAGGGGGTACCGGTACAGAGTCAATGTGTGGTGTTACAGGTTAGTTGAGGTAATTTGTACATGTAGGTAGGGGTAAAGTGAAGTAAAGTAAAGTAAAGTGGGGCGGCAGGTAGCTTAGTGGTTAAGAGCGTTGTGCCAGTAACTGAAAGGTCGCTGGTTCTAATCCCTGAGCTGACTAAATCTGTCGATGTGCCCTTGAGCAAGGCACTTAACCCTAATTGCTCCTGTAAGTCGCTCTGGATAAGAGTGTCTGCTAAATGACTAAAATGTAAAGTGACTATGCATAGATAATAAACAGCAAGTAGCAGCAGTGAAAAAACAAAGAGGAGGGTGAGGGACAGTACATAATGACCTGAACAAGTAGAGTTCCTAAAGATTATACATATGCTTTTGTTGACAGGAAACGTTTTTTTTGGTGAAGCCGGCTATGTTGTGGTAGGGTTATGTTCCGTTGCCACCCACCAGAACAATTCACAACTCAGGGAGTCCAACCAATACAGACTCCCGATGTTCTGTCCCAAAGCTAGCTAAACACCAACTCGTGTGTACCGGAAATAGACGTGGCAAGCGACGATCTACTTCCTGTTCACTGTGTTGACAAATGAAAGAGAGACAGCCAGATGGATTCATAATTTTACGATAACTCCGAAACTAACCCGGTTTTAACTCTGGTTAGCTATTTCATGCCTTGACAGGCACCGTAGAAGGTATTTAGTGAACCAGCCTTGCACAGGCAATGGACGGGACTAGGCTGTTGTTCTTGTTGTTTGGGGTTTTGTTGGAGGTGTTTTGTGGTGTGTCGGCTAACAGAGGGGGAGCTCCTTCGTTAACTGATGAAATCCCATTCAAAATTAACTGGCCCGGGGCCGAATTCACCCTGGTGAGTGTTGTCGCTCAGTGTGTGTGGTTGTTGTGTGATAGAGAATAAATACAGTTTTTGTCATAGTTAACGTTAAATCATGGCTGGTTATTTATGATTTACTTGACAAGCTAACGTTAGCTAGCTAGTTTTAAATGGTGATACAGTATGTTAAGCTTAAGCATACCTAGCTAGCTAGTATTCCTTGTTATGGCTGTTGTCATATGACTGCCAATTTAAAACTGATCATCCATAGTTTGCCTGTGCACCTCCACAACATTTACAATCTGTGAGATGTTGTAAACATGCAAGTTTCTAGTACAGTATTATTATCTGACCCTAAATCTGTCCTTCCATAGCCAACCTCAGGTGCCCTCTACAAAGAAGATGACTTTGTCGTCATGACTACAACAGAGAAGGAGAAATACAAATGTCTCCTGCCTTCCTTGTCAAATGGAGATGATGTGAGCTAGATAAATCATTTTTAGTTTCACTCCTCTTTTCAACAATATTGCTTGTCTCCCTTATCCTCCTCTCTCTGTCTCCCTCTGTGTCTGTTTGTCTATCTGCTTCTGTCTCTCCTCCCCCCTCTCTCTCTCAGGATGATGACAAGGAGTACGCTGGTCCCACTCCAGGTGATCTGCTGGACCCACTGTTCAAAGAGAGCAGCTGCTCCTACAGAGTGAGAACTGAACCGTTTCACTTCTACTTCTGTCTAAATAAAGGCTAGGATATCATGAGTACCACTGCAACACCAATGTCATGGGTCGTCCCCCCCCTTAGGGATCACATGCTAAAGATGTATGTCATGTACTATGCTGTCAGTTTCTATGGATAGGCTAACCACGGGCTCTTCTGGCATGTGTTGGGGTGTTAATTAATAGATTGAGTCATACTGGACGTATGAGGTGTGTCATGGGAAACATGTGAGACAATACCATGAGGAGAAGGAGACGGGACAGGTAAGTGGGAAATTATGTTACTTCAAAATCGCCATCATTATAATGTATACCATCAAGTATGTTGCAATAAGTAAGAAAAAAGCACTGTGAAAAGTGAAATGATTTTTGTGTTTAATCTAGCAGATCAAAGTTCAGGAGTACGTTTTGGGAAGCATGACCAAGAAGACTGAGTCTTCAGCCACTTCAGGAACAGAGACTGCGGAGGTAGAGAAAGTCAAGGAGATGGGTCCTATGCCAGAAGCTCAGAAAGAGGTTGGTTGTTCAAGTGACAAAAAAAACCACACAAAAAACACGTCGTAAGACTTCTTTGAACCTTTGTCTTTTCTCATTTTATTTCTCTCTAATCACGTGTCTCTAATCACGGGGCTCTAATCACGGGGCTCTAATCACTGGTCTCTAATCATGGGTCGCTATTTTGAAGGTTTTACTTGCTGTGATTAGTTTATCTACCGAAGTTGAATGCACCGATTGAAAATATAAATGTTTCTAGGTTCCCACTAAGAACGTGGAGGGCCAGCTGACTCCATACTACCCGGTATTGATGGGCCACGGGACGGCGTGCGTCCTGAAACAGAACACACCTCGCTCCACCAACGTGCTGTATGTCTGCCACCCCGAAGCCAAGAACGAGATCCTCTCTATCGCTGAGGTCACTACCTGCGAGTACGAAGTAGTGGTGCTGACCCCTCTGATCTGTGCACACCCCAAATACAGGTGGGTGGGTGTGAGAGAATGCACCTCCAAATACAGCAGCATACCACCCTGCAGGTCGGTTCCAGATGTTTCTGGAAGTGGTGTTGGAGGGCCAGTAGGAGGCACTCTTTCCTCTGGTCTAAAAAAATATCCCAAAGCCCCAGGGCAGTGATTGGGACATTGCCCTGTGTAGGGTGCTTTCTTTCGGATGGGACATTAAACGGGTGTCCTGACTCTGTGGTCACTAAAGATCTCATGGCACTTATCGTAAGAGTAGGGGTGTTAACCCAGGTGTCCTGGCTAAATTCCCAATCTGGCCCTCATACCATCATGGCCACCTAATCATCCCCAGCTTCCAATTGGCTCATTTATCCCCTCTCCTCTCCCCCGTAACAATTCCCCAGGTTGTTGCTGTAAATTAGAATGTGTTCTCAGTCAACTTACCTGGTAAAGTAAGGGTTAAATAAAAATACAGGTAGCAGCAGGTCTAATGTAAACTGCTTCCCAAACCCAACCAGTTCCCCTTATGATGTATTTCACAACTACCATAGCTGATTTAACTAATGCAACTATAAGTAAAGGGGACAACCTTGTTTTATATGTTGTGGAGGCTTATATCTTTATCCCGTGGTCTGTTAGGTTCAAGTCGTCCCCAGTGAATGCCATCTTCTGCCAGGCCATGTCTGGTTCTCCCCTGCGGCCTCACAGTCTCTCTCAGATGGACCGGGAGCAGGAGGAGCTGCTGAAACCTCCCTTCACTGCCGCTGCTGCCCCAGAGAGAGAAGTGAGAAAGGAGGAGGATGGAGAGAGAGGGAGGGGGGAAGGAGAGAGGGGGGAAGGAGAGAGGGAGGAAGGAGAGAGGGAGGGGGGAAGGAGAGAGGGAGGAAGGAGAGAGGGAGGGGGATGGAGAGAGGGAGGGGGATGGAGGGAGGGGGGATGGAGAGAGGGAGGTGGGATGGAGAGAGGGAGGGGGATGGAGAGAGGGAGGGGGATGGAGAGAGGGATGGAGAGAGAGGGAGCGAGACTGGGGGAGGAGAAAGAGAGGAGAGAAGGGAATGTAGAAGATAAGAGATAAGAGTTGATGGTAGTGGGGCAATACAGGGTCATGATCAGAATGACAAAACGGTGTTGGACAAGTTCAGGTAAGTGGCTATTCACCGTTTGAAATCTGTTTGTCTGTACTGAACACAACCCAGGTTTAGAAGCTGTCTGTTTAATGTCTTCTAAATAAACACCTCCTCCCCTCCTCTCTCTTGTCCTCCAGAAGGAGAATACGTCCCCGGTGAGAGAGGTGGCCTTCTCCTCTACCCATAAGCCCCTGGTGGTGGGCGGGCAGACCCAGGTTACCGTGGGAACCACCCACATCTCCCGCCTGACCGACGAGCAGCTGATCAAAGAGTTCCTGAGTGGCTCCTACTGTCTCCATGGGGTTAGTATGAGGCCTGCTGATTGGCTGGCTGTTGAAAGAGACACCTGCTCATTGGCTACAGCCACATATTGGCTACTGCTCATTGGCTGCTGTTGTTAATTCAATATAATATATCTTTATTGTTCCCTGATGGCCATGTTGGTTGCAGCGCATTACATACATTAAAAACATAATACATTACAGGTATACATACAAAAAGAGGAACTGACAGAGGAGGTTTGAAGAGATGCTCAAGTAACTCACACAACTCTTAGCTTCATACTGTAGCCTCTGTCTGATGTCTGGAATGTGTGTTGCAGGGAGTGGGATGGTGGAAGTATGAGTTCTGCTATGGGAAGCATGTACATCAGTACCATGACGTAAGGGTTATTTACTTAGCAGCTCAGTAATGTTGAAATACTTAAAGCACAATATTTCCTGTAGACTGAAAGATGTTTCAGTATTGGCTGGCTGGGTGCATCATCATGTATTTTTTGGTATGTTAAAAGTATCTAATATACGATGATTGATTGATTTCTCTCCCAGGATAAGGAGCAGGGGAAGAACATTGTGGTAGTGGGCAGTTGGAATGCTGAAGAACACCTGGAGTGGGCTCAGAAGAACGTGGCCCGATCTTACCAGTTGAAAGACGACGGGGAGCAGAAAGTCAAGTACGTCCACCAGTTTTAGATTTCACTGATCAGCACTATGTTAATGAATGTACCAATATTTTAGGAATATGGCATTAGGGGCTGATGTCCTGGACAAAGATTAAGTCTACCACTGGACTAAAAAACATGCTCAATGGAGAATATCTATTGAAAGGGCGTTTTAGTCCAGGAATAGGATTCATCAGTGTCCAGGAAACCTGAGTTTCTAAAGAGAACACATTTGTGATTGATAATGAGGATAATGACTTCATGGTTGTTGTACTTCTTCCCCAGATTGGTGTCCCTCTTCTACGGCCATGGGGACGTGTGTGACCTGACAGGGAAACCCAGACAGGTCATCGTCAAGCTCAAGTGAGTCACCATCAGTGTTGCTACGGTCTTCCTGAGAGAGGGGTCTGGTCTAGTAGGGTTAATATAATAATATATGCCAGTTCAGCAGCCGCTTTTATCCAAAGTCACTTAGTCATGCATGCATACATTAAGTACAGGTGGTCCCGGGAATCGAACCCACTATCCTGGCGTTGCATGCGCCAACGCTTGGCATGCTCTACCAACTGAGCTACAGAGAACCACTTCTCCATTGGAGTAACATGTGGAGCCTGTTCAGGAGGTTACAGTTCATCAGATAGAAATGTATGGGATAGGACAGATATGATTGTCATGTAGAATAGGGAATTGAGTAATGTCTACTGATTCTATTTCTATCTGCAACGTTCAGAACGTTTCACATCACTGAATACACAGCTGGTCTCTGATTTCAAGTCCGTCCTCTGTCTCAGGTGTAAGGAGTCTGAGTCTCCCCATGCGGTCACTGTGTACATGCTGGAGCCTCAGACCTGCCAGTACATCCTTGGGGTAAGAATGCACACACATCACTGTTGCATCATGTTATGGTTAAACACTTGAACACATTCTTGCTGTTTTTGTGTGTTTACCACGAGAGTTTGGGCGAGTCAGATTCCCACTGTATTCAATACACATGGCAAATCAACTTGATTCTGTTCATTTTTCTCCATCAGGTTGAGTCTCCAGTTATATGCCAGATCCTGGACACAGCTGATGAGAAAGGCCTTCTATCCGTCTCCAGCTAACAGCACGGACAGAGGAGGCTGGAGAGACGGATAAAGGAGGGATGAGCAGAAATTAAAAAAGAAGCCGTTTTACTACGTTTAAATTGATGTGCACATCTAGTAAAACTTCTTCTTTGTTCTAGAAAATAAAGGACAGGGATTTAGGCAAAGACTGCCTGAAATGGAAGATTGGATGAACCAAGGCCCATGGCACTGCTCAGGAGGTCCAGACAGACATGGACATGGAGAGGAGCGGAGGGAGAGTGTTGATCCTGGAACGGACCCTGGAACCCAGGACCACAGTCCCTCTCTACCACCCTGGCTTAAACCTCTATGTACTGAACCAACCCCATGCTGCATCTAAAGCCTTATGATAAAGTGTGGAAAAACACATTTGATCTGAATTGGAAATCCAATTCCAAATGGGACAGAGCCTCACAAAATGGGACCCTGTTCACTCCACAAGGCTCTATGGCCTGGACTTATCTTAGGGCAGGTTAGTTCTAGTGTGCTCTGGCCAATATGCCAGGACAGAACAACCAATCATTCAAACAGCATCATTAGGAGAACCCGCTTCCATGTTGTACTTGGTTTTATCCTCAACATTTTTAATTAACTGTATTTATTTGGGTTTCATTTCAGTTGTACACATTCTTTGTTTTGTAGATACAGTATCTTCTGACAGTCAGTTTGAATTTTTAAATGTGCATACAAACAATAACTTGGCAGAGTGAGAATGTCTCAATTCAGGAAGTAAACTGAAATTCCAATTGCTATTTCCTCATCGAAAGCAGTAAGGAAAATTAGGATTTGAATTTCAGTTTACTTCCTGGATTGAAAAGGAATTGACCCCAACCCTGGTTGTTGTTACGTTACAGGGTGAGTGAGAGTAATTTATAAACTGACGTGCTGTGAATTCAATCCCTGGATGTTATTGACGAGCGCTGATGATTAACATTGGTTATGCACTGAATTGGACGTAATTTCTGTGGATTTCTAAATCTGGTGTGTTCTGTGGTTTAAATGAGGGATACACTGAAAAAAGAAATGAAATTATCAGAACAAAAATGAATAAAGTTGGGTTAAAATGATTGCTAGTCATACTCCATTGTCTTGTATAGCTAGCAATAATGTGAAAACCAGAATGGGCCTCAACTCTTGGTTTGAACCATTATACATTTACTAAAAGGCCAACTGATGCTCTTCTCTAAAGAGAAGTTAACTTCTGTCTGATCAATGGTAGCTTATGTGATACCATAGATCAGGGGTTCTCCAACCTCTCCTCGCGGACCCCCAGCCGTTCTCAAACCTCTCCTCTGGGACCCCCAGCCGTTCTCAAACCTCTCCTCGGGGACCCCCCAGCCGTTCTCAAACCTCTCCTCGGGGACCCACCAGCCGTTCTCAAACCTCTCCTCGGGGACCCCCAGCCGTTCTCCAACCTCTCCTCGGGGACCCCCAGCCGTTCTCCTCGGGGACCCCCAGCTGTTCCATGTATTTGAACTATTCCACAACTAGCTCACCTGATTCACCTTGTCAACTAATCATCAAGCCCTTGAATAAGTGAATCAGGTGAGTTAGTTCAGGGCTACAACTACATGGTGAAATGTCTGGGAGTCTCTGAGGAGAGGTTGGAGAACGGCTGGGGGTCCCCGAGGAGAGGTTGGAGAACGGCTGGGGGTCCCCGAGGAGAGGTTGGAGAACGTCTGGGGGTCCCCGAGGAGAGGTTGGAGAACGTCTGGTGGTCCCTGAGGATAGGTTGGAGAACCACTGTACTGAACATAATTGTGTGACATGACAAAAACAGTGAGTTGCAGGTTGATTAGTTGACCACCAGAGGTCTCTTACTCCATAAGAGCGGTGTTCACCTTTGTGGATCTGCAATAGATCTTCAATTTAGATATTTTTCTTTGCCAGGAGCGCACTGGACACATTGCAGTTGCAAAAACGTTTACTGATATCATAGAACATGTATGAGACTCACAAATACAGTGTTATTATGATGAGAAGACCATCTAAATTGTACAATTTGAAAAATGTCATGTCAGTGTAAAAATTGATTCCAGTTATTTCAGTAACATCAACAACACTGTGGGATCAGTACTGTTACATATCTCTTCCTTTGGACTAAGATATCTTCCAGTTTATATTCTAAAGTCAATGGGGGTTATTCTTTACCTCTTAACAGTTCAATACCGCATGATATTCAGACAATTAGTATCCGTTTACTCTCTGGTGTGTTGTGGTAATGGTGGTATAATATTATAGTAACCATTAGCATCCCTGGGCTATATGCCCAAGCCCTCTCCAGTTTCAGCATGGTGGCTAGCTTACACTCAAGGTACAGTATCTGACCAATCAATAAACAAATCAATTCATCTATAAATCATTGTGGTACGTTAGACTGAAGGTATGGAGATCTGATGCACCGAGGTGCTCTCAAAGTCCGGCAGAACCACAATACTATGTTAGCCCACTAAACTAAAGCCTATTGGCATTAGCTTTTCGAGCCAACACAAGTCTTCAGGTCTAAGCCAAGGTTAATCATCACAGACTGAAGGGATCCAATCATTCATGGTGGTTAGTCAGACTGAAGGTATGGGTATCTTATGGGCTGAGGTGCTCTCAATGTCCTGCAGCACCTCCTGGTGGGTGTGATAGTGCATGACAACGTAGGACTTATTGAACCCAAAGGCCTGGGAGGAGGAGGAGTTTGTAGCAGGCTGCAGACTGTTGGTAGGGGAGCCGGGTCCTGCAGAGGGGCTGCTGTTGTAGATACTGTAGTAGGGCTCAATACGGGTGTTGATGGGGGTGGAGGTGCTAGGGGGCCGGGGCTTACGCCCACCATGCCCGCCCGTGGCTCTCGGACTGGGGGCACAGTCCTGGGAGTGACTGGGTCCACAGGCTTGATCCACCAGTCTCCTTTGTGGCTTGGGTGAGAGGACATAGGCAGAGTTGGTCTCATGGTGCGAGGATTTGTTACGGTTGACTTCAAGACTGCCTTTACCCATGGCGTGGAGCCGTGTCTTGTGCTTGCAGCAGAGGAACACCAGCGCCACCCATTGGAGGCAGCAGAGGACGCGCCGGCGAAGCCCGGCGCTGTTGCGGGAGTACACGAATGGGTTGATGCACGACTTGAGGAAGATGAGCGCGAAACCGCACAGTTCGAACTGGTAGTGAGCGAAGCTGCTCTCCGGAGAGAGGACGTCCTGGGCTAAGGAGACACCCATGGGGAGACAACAGAGGAGGATGGAGAATACAATCACCACACAGGTTACTACAGCCTTGGAGTCCTTAACTGTGGCCAGGTTGACGGTAGAGACTAGCTGGCAGCAGGTAGCTCCCTGGGCAGCGCCGGGTACTAGACCCTGGCTGGTGGGTCTGTTAGTGTAGGAGTGAGTCTGAATGTGTTGTAGCTTGTTGTAGGTCTGGTTGCGGTAGAGCGAAGGGACCTGGACGGCACACTGCATGCCCTCTAACCCGGCCGCGATGAGCGGGGGAGGGGGTGGTGGTAGCGGCGGGCGCGTGGCGTCTACGGTGATGATGCGGCACTTCCTCACCTGGGGACAGGATGGGATCAACCATTTAGCATAGAGAGACATAACATGATACAAGCCATAATACATTATTTTGCTTCATACATGCTTATAGCAAGTTATAAGAAATGAAGTGTTACTAAAGTTTCTTAAAAATGTGTCAAATAATCCCGTAAGGGGTGGGTCGTTAAGGCGATTTACCTGACACGTTTTTAAGAAACTTTAGTAACACTTCATTTCTTATAACTTACTATAAACATGTATGAAGCAAAATAATGTATTATGGCTTCTCTCTCTCTCTCTCACCTGTGCGTTCTTCCTCAGTGTCTGAGCGATCATCAGGTAGCAGACAGACACCACCGCCACACAGAAGGCAAAGTCTGCCAGGTAGACATATAGAATCACCCTAGCACGCCCACCCGTTAGGCCGAAGTGAGGCAGGCAGGGTCCCTCCTTCATGGGGTATGCTCGCAGGGTGAGCAGGGCACCCATAGTTAAGCTGGAGGTCCAGAGGAGGGCAGTGAGAGCCAGAGTACAGGGGAGTGAGGCCATGCGGTTGGGCTGCTGGCCCAGGACCATACGTAGCCTATGGAGGGCAATCACAGCTACCGTCTCCAGAGACATGATGATGAAGGCAGTGCTGGTCAGGTGGAAGGTGAAGCAAAAAGTATTTGACACGCCGCCCCATCCTCCTGTAACAAAAAAAATGGTTTACTCTTAAGACTTTTGCAAACCTTCAAGAATCAGACCAGGTATCCCTTCAAATACTTGGAGCATTTGGTTGAGTCTGCCTGGAGTGCTAGATGGGCAGAGTTTGCAATTTTTGGACTTTTCTATTGGTTTATTAAGCCAAGCAAACTCAAACAGGCACACAACAGAACAATAATAATAATTTGGTGGGTGCTTATATTTGTCCTATTTCACACATCTATTATACGCATGGGTGAATTGGAAATGTGTATATTTTTTTGCACATCCTAACTCCCCCTGAGACACCCTCGGAGAGTGAGGTCACGGCCAGGGTCAGCCATTATCAACAGCAATCCTGGAGCAATAAGGGCTAAGTGCCTTGCTCAAGCGCACATCAACAGATTTTTCACCTTGTCGGCTCTGGGATTCGAACTAGCGACTTTTCGGTTACTGTCCCAATGCTCTAACCGCTAGGCTACCGGCCGTCCTAAGCAACAACTTAAAAATTACCCGGGGACAGTCAGGGCCCAGGGTCTTAGCTGAAGCAAGAGACAAGAAGAACTAAGCAAAGAACAGAAGGAAGTAAATATCATAGAGATCCTATTAAATTACTAGAGGGGCTATGTTATAAACCCTCAAAGTTCCAGAATGGTATTCTAATTCCTAATTCTATGGTAAATACAGTCCACTCACCTGAGTCCAGGAAAAGCACCAATGCGAACATTGGCGCAGTCACGCAACATATAATCATATCACAGAATGATAAGTTCAGGATCATGAAGTCGAAGTTGGTGCGGAACTTGCGGAAGGCCGGGTGGAAGAAGGAGAGGAACACCACCAGGTTGCCGTAGGAACCCAGAAAGAAGATGAGGATGAGGAGAAGGGAGCAGGAAGTTAGGGTAGCCGTGTGGATCAGGGCCCAACCAGGGGAGGAAGAGGAGGAGGAGGACCTAGAGGGAGGAGGAGAAGAACACTGATACAGTGCCTTGCAAAAGTATTCATCCCCCTTGGCGTTTTTCCTATTTTGTTGCATTACAACCTGTAATTTAAATGGATTTTTATTTGGATTTCATGTAACAGAAAAGTGGTGCGTGCATATGTATTCACCCCCTTTGCTATGAAGCCCCTAAATAAGATCCGGTGCAACCAATTACCTTCAGAAGTCACATAATGAGTTAAATAAAGTCCACCTGTGTGCAATCTAAGTGTCACATGATCTCTTACATGATCTCAGTATATTTACACCTGTTCTGAAAGGCCCCAGAGTCTGCAACACCACTAAGCAAGGGGCACCACCAAGCAAGCGGCACCATGAAGACCAAGGAGCTCTCCAAACAGGTTGGGGACAAAGTTGTTGAGAAGTACAGATCAGGGTTGGGTTATAAAAAAATATCAGAAACTTTGAACATCCCACAGAGCATTAAATCCATTATTAAAAAATTTAAAGAATATGGGACCACAACAAACCTGCCAAGAGAGGGCCGCCCACCAAAACTCACAGACCAGGCAAGGAGGGCATTAATCAGAGAGGCAACAAAGAGACCAAAGATAACCCTGAAGGAGCTGCAAAGCTACACAGCGGAGATTGGAGTATCTGTCCATATGACCACTTAAACCGTACACTCCACAGAGCTGGGATTTACGGAAGAGTGGCCAGAAAAAAGCCATTGCTTAAAGAAAAAAATAAGCAAACACATTTGGTGTTCGCCAAAAGGCATGTGGGAGAGTCCCCAAACATATGGAAGAAGGTACTCTGGTCAGATGAGACTAAAATTGAGATTTTTGGCCATCAAGGAAAACGCTATGTCTGGCGCAAACCCAACACCTCTCATCACCCCGAGAACACCATCCCCACGGTGGTGGCAGCATCATGCTGTGGTGATGTTTTTCCATCGGCAGGGACTGGGAAACTGGTCAGAATTGAAGGAATGATGGACGGCACTAAATACAGGGAAATTCTTATAATAATAATAATAATATGCCATTTAGCAGACGCTTTTATCCAAAGCGACTTACAGTCATGCGTGCATACATTTTTTGTGTATGGGTGGTCCCGGGGATCGAACCCACTACCTTGGCGTTACAAGCGCCGTGCTCTACCAGCTGAGCTACAGAGGAAACCTGTTTCCGTCTTCCAGAGATTTGAGACTGGGACGGAGGTTCACCTTCCAGCAGGACAATGACCCTAAGCATACTGCTAAAGCAACACTCGAGTGGTTTAAGGGGAAACATTTAAATGTCTTGGAATGGCCTAGTCAAAGCCCAGATCTCAATCCAATTGAGAATCTGTGGTATGACTTAAAGATTGCTGTACACCCATCCAACTTGAAGGAGCTGGAGCAGTTTTGACTTGAAGAAATGTGTATTTTGCTTTTCAACCCACTCACCTCGGGCCCAGGCTGCTGACCCCATCCAGCAGGCCCGACGGCAGACTGGTCACATTCATCATACACATAGGGCTGGTTTCCTGGACACAGATTAAGCCTAGTCCTGGACTAAGAAGCTGTTTCAATGGAGGTTCTCCATTGGATTAGTGAGGACTGGAGTACAGCCTCACAGGTGTTCACATCATTTCACTGAACAGGATGGTGAAGGGATCTGCTGTCTCCTCCATTGACATGGTCCCCTTGGTCATGGGAAAGACCCCATATTTCTACATAGAAACAGAGGAATCTGAGTTTAGTACAACACCATATTATTACAATGAAAGATGTCTATGAGGACCATTGTGAATGATAATAATTCTGCTCTTTCAATGGAAAAAGAGACAAACACTGAAGTCTAAATAGGCCTAGGCTGAAGCAAGTGCAAGACGATATAATGTGTAGCCTACACACTAATCTAATCATTCTATAATTATTGTTGAGGGTATTTGATATATGTGTACACAATAGATGTGGATAATTTGATAGAATGTGGTTGAGCCTACGACGACAATATGAGCTACAGCTATTGTGTAGGCCTATCGATATTGACAATTCACACAGAATTCTAAAAACATACACGCTTACCGCATCTGCATTTATCTGTCTGTGCGTGTGAATGCTCTGATGCAAAACGATCTCAATATGACAGTCGAGTCATCCTGGTCATTTGATTACTGTTATGAAAACCAATACAATACTGAAGGTGTTGCTCTCCAGCCAGCCACCACCACAATTACAGCCATTAGAAGAAAATAAAAAAAGTATTCCTTCACAGTTGATCAGAAGCCATAATATATGAGATCTAAATTCTGTATGCAACCTAATATTGCGGCTTACTTGAAAATGAGAGGCATTGTCATATTGATGTGAAGGCTAATAGAGAAGAAAAAATTGCGAAAATAGACATAGGCCTAATTGTTATACAACCCATCCGTTACATTTTCATATTCGGAATTGGCAACTTACCGTTCACCTGCATAATAACCACACGCACTTTTATTCACAGTATGTCGTTCAAAAAGAGCGTTTATTGTATTGTAGATGTGATGTATCCATTTTTGTATTATCCCGAGGACGAGGACCGGGCGCAGTACATCGGTAAGACTTGGGATATGACATACTGGGCGCGTTCCTCTGCCTTGCCGTTGCTGACGCATGCCAGATCTTACCACGCCTGGATAGGTATTTTACATGTCAGCTAACCACATCTTCGACTCGGCACTGGTACTCCCTGCATGTTATTCACTGTGTATTTATTCCTGTCACTATTTCTATTTTAAAAAAAATATTATTGTACATCTAACGTCAGCGCGTGCGGGTACCAGTTACCACCTAGGGATGTCAACCTCTAGCTTGAACATCTCAATCTAACGGAGTCAAAAGGATACGAATCCATTCTCATGGGAGAATAAACTGCAACATTTAGTCTAGAAATACCTTTGGGAATATTGGGTTCCAAGTCGTTCTAGAATCCCCGCTCTTTGTAGGGTCCAGTACATTTATTAAGGCTACCACCTGTACACTGAGAGCCAACTTCTAGCCCTCGATGTATGTACCCTCTCAACCTGTGACTAACTTCAATATGAGGCATCACAGAACCACCCGGTACAAAGACACAAACTACAAAAGTTTGTTACAAACAACCCATACATTTCTTTATTTTCTTCATTCAATATACGCAAACAGTACATCTAAAAAGAATCACTGCAGCTTTGGCACTACACTAAACAGGTGAGGTACTAAACTGAACCAATGCTTCAATGAGACTAGCTTTTCAAGTCTTCATGGAAAAACTAAATATTGAACCAAAATAAATCTCTCACTTTTTTTAAAGAATGGAGAATAATGTTATATTGAGGAGTAGAGGAGGGGAGTGGAAAGGGTGCGATGCTAAGGTGGTGGACAGGATGTTTGGTTATTCCTTGGGCCCGTTTCCCAGACACAGATTAAGCCTAGCCCTGGACTAAACAACATTGTCTCAATGGAGATGTTCCAATTATCCTGCTTTTTAGTCTAGGACTAGGCTTGATCTGTGTCCGGGAAACAAGTCCCTTGGGGTTTTGAGAGGTGTTTAGACATGCCATGATGATCAAACAGCGCTCATCAGCTGGAAACCGCTCACATAGCCTTGAGGAATGAACACACACACACTCCCTCTGCTACATATTCATCATTGCCCATGCGAGAGCAGATTAAATAAAATACTCCGTCACTAAAAAGCTGAACAATCTATCTACTCACGAACCAAAATCTTTCATTACCAGCAACTCTCTAAGAATAATTAAATCAGCACTTCAAACAAATAAATAAACATGTTTGTGCATTTGTTACATACACATGTTATATAGACATAATAAAATATGCATATAGCAGAGAGATAAAACAAAGTACACAAACGTCATGTATGTAAATGTGTGTCCCGGGTTCAAATCTCAGCTACGTCCCAAATGGCACCCTATTCCCTATATAGTAAAAGGAATAGGGTGCCATTTGGGATACAGCCCTAATCTAATGATATTGAACGATCATCTGAACACATACAGACTGTGGCTAAGAACACTTCACTGGAGACCTGGGAGATTATGGTTCCTATCCTCTAGCGCAGGCCTCGACAACCCTGTTCCTGGAGAGATACCGTTCTGTAGGTTTTAACTCCAACCCTGTTCCTGGAGAGCTACCGTTCTGTAGGTTTTAACTCCAACCCTGTTCCTGGAGAGCTACCGTTCTGTAGGTTTTAACTCCAACCCTGTTCCTGGAGAGCTACCGTTCTGTAGGTTTTAACTCCAACCCTGTTCCTGGAGAGTACCGTTCTGTAGTTAACTCCAACCCTGTTCCTGGAGAGATACGGTTTTAACTCCAACCCTGTTCCTGGAGAGCTACCGTTCTGTAGGTTTTAACTCCAACCCTGTTCCTGGAGAGCTACCGTTCTGTAGGTTTTAACTCCAACCCTGTTCCTGGAGAGCTACCGTTCTGTAGGTTTTAACTCCAACCCTGTTCCTGGAGAGCTATCCTCCTGTAGGTTTACACTCCAACCCCAGTTGTAACTATCCTAATTCAGTTTATCAACCAGGTAGTTATTAGAATCAGGTGTGCTAGATTAGGGTCATAGTGAAAATGTACAGGAACAGGGTGGGAGAGCCCTGCTCTAGTGGGAGAATATAGTTAGTTGGCGCAGAGTTGATAACATTGAGGGGATGTTGTACTGAGAGCAATAGTATAGGGGAAACTAGCTCTGGTCCAGGGGCGTCGTGGTGCACTAATGGGGGAACACGCACTACACCTTGGACCAGAGCTAGGGGAAACCTGCAGGTATCTTCATCAAGCATTCCGCGCACTCACGCACGCACACACACACAAAAAAAGAAAAGAACAAGACAAATCAACAGTACAGTAACATTACAGTAACATTATAGTACCATTACAAACCGCAGGTCAATCATCCCTGCTATGGGTTTATCCTTAAATATTAAGTATAGTAGAAATGTAAATGAGCGCTAAAAACAAATACACAACTCTATTTTATTCCATCCATTACGTATGCATGTTCCCCCCTCCCCCATTTTCAAGGTCCTCAGGGTACAGGGTCGTATTCGTTATGGCATCCAGGTAGTTCCTCCTGGTTTCATTCCGTTTGGTGCCTAGTGAATACGACCCAGGTGTCATCCGTTGGTCTGGTCAGACGGCAGGGATCTGGATGTGAGGCCTCTGTTCTGGGCCTGTATTCACACAGCTTCTCAGAGTAGCGCTGTTAATGGAGGATCAGGTCGCCATGTCCATATAATGGTATTCAATACGATCTGCAAGGCAAAACCGATCCTAAATCAGCAATTGTACTCAGACGCTTTGTGAATACGGCCCTGTTCTGTTCAGTCTGAGGCCAGAGTGAGGAACTGTTGAGTGGCTCAAAGAGGGCATTCAGGGTGTCCTTCCTCCGTTAAGAAAACATAACAATCTCCATCTGAAAGTTGTATCAGGGCCCTAAAGAGAGACCAAATGGAAGTGCCTTGTAGTTTATAATGTACTGTAACTTCTGTTGGGATGTTTCCACCCAAGCATACATTTGAATTCATCTACAATGAGTGAGCAGGTTAGGATGGGAGTGTGTGTCCTACCAGGTATCTAGGCGTAGTAGCAGGGAGAGACCAGCAGGTCGGTCAGAACCAGCAGCTGGTCGTCAGTGAACTGCTGTTTGTGTTCCTGCCAGTTGTCATGGTGAGTCCGCCGGAAGTTAGACAGGGTCTTCTTCACTGTCATCTGCAGGAGGAGACAAGTAGAGAGATTCAGGAGAGAGAGAGAGAGATTCAGGAGAGAGAGAGAGAGATTCAGGAACGAGAGAGAGATTCAGGAAAGAGAGAGAGAGAGAGAGATTCAGGAACGAGAGCGAGAGATTCAGGAACGAGAGCGAGCGAGAGAGATTCAGGAGAGAGAGAGAGAGTGACAGAGAGCATGTCGTTGAGCTATGTGGGTTAGTCCTCCTCACCTCAATGGGCTGTGTGTCGTTGAGGTGGGCGCTCAGGTTCATCAGTAGCTGGGGCATCCAGGTGGGAACATCATAGGGGCTGGACAGGATACAGGCACTCAGACCTAACACTCCAGCATGACGCCTCACTAGATCTACACACACGGGGGGGGGGGTTGAAAAGGAGCATTGAAAAACTGACCTATAACACATTCAGCAAGGTCAAGACAAATGCATTTTAGAAGCCTATCTAACAACCATGGCAACTGTGTTCCAAGTAAACAATTGACCTTTGAATGTAGACAGTTGCTATGTTCTAATACTCACACTAGCGTGCCACTTAAAATGAAGATACACTATATATACAAAAGTATGTGGACACCCCTTCAAATTAATGGATTCAGCTATTTCAGCCACACCTGTTGCTGACAGGTGTATAAAATCAAGTACACAGCCATGCAATCTCCATAGACAAACATTGGCAGTAGAATGGCCTTACCTGTGCAAAGCTGTCATCAAGGCGAAAGGGTGGCTATTTGAAGAATCTCAAATATAAAATATATTTTGATTTGTTTAACACTTTTTTGGTTACTACATGATTCCATATGTGTTATTTCATAGTTTTGATGTCTTCACTATTATTCTACAATGTAGAAAATAGTAAAAATAAAGAAAAACCCTTGAATGAGTAGGCGTGTCCAAACTTTTGACTGGTACTGTAAGTAATTAGAAATGATTCATACTTTTACTTTTGATACTTAAGTACATTTTAGTAATTACATTTACTTTTGATACTTAAATATATTTAAAACCAAATACTTTTAGACTTTTACTCAAGTAGTATTCTACTGGGTGACTTTCACTTTTACTTGAGTCATTTTCTATTAAGGTATCTTTACTTTTACTCAAGTATGAAAATTGGGTCCTTTTTCCACCACTGACCTTAACCGCTAGGCTACCTGCTGCCCCACAGTAGCACAGTCAGGGAAAGTGTGTGATCGAAGTAAGGCAATGGACAGTTGTGTTAGTAGCTACCTCCAGAGGGGATGGTGTCCACCACGGAGCCCAGCTCCCTCTTCCTCTTCTTGGGCAGACGGGTCTTGCAGAGGGCCTCAAAGTGGCTCTGCATGGGGCCATCTATGGACAGGAAGTTACACTGAAGGAAACCGCTCAGAGTGGTGGCAGCCATCTCCCTCACCTGGGGGAGAGAAGGAGAGAGGGTTCATTATTTATACAATGCAACAGTGTGTGTGGCCATATGTGGAGCTGGCTGGTCCAGTCTGTACTGACTATATCTGCTCAACAGAAAGATATTGAACAGGGAGAAAGAGAGAGAGAGAGAACAGGGAGAAAGAGAGAGAGAACGGGGAGAGAGAGAGAGAGAGAGAGAGAACAGGGAGAAAGAAAGAGAACAGGGAGAGGAAGAGAGAACAGAAAGAGAGCAGAAAGAGAGAAAAAAAGAGAGAAAAAAAGAGAGAACCGAAAGAGAGAGAGAGAACAGAGAGATAAAACAGAGAGAGAAAACAGAGAAAGAGAACAGAAAGAAAGAGAGAGAACAGGGAGAAAGAGAGAACAGGGAGAAAGAGAGAACAGAGAGAGAACAGAAAGAGAGAGAAACAGAGAGAGAACAGAAAGAGAGAGAACAGAGAGAGAACAGAAAGAGAGAAACAGAGAGAGAGAGAGAACCGGGAGAAAGAGAGAGAGAACCGAAAGAGAGAGAACAGAGAGAAAGAGAGAGAACAGAAAGAGAGAACAGGAGAGAGAAAACAGAGAGAGAAAACAGAGAGAGAACAGAAAGAAAGAGAGAGAACAGGGAGAAGAGAGAACAGAAAGAGTGAGAACAGAAAGAGAGAGACCAGAAAGAGAGAGAAAACAGAAAGAGAGAGAGAACAGTGAGAGAGAGAGAACAGTGAGAGGGAACAGAAAGAGAGAGAGAAAAAGAGAACAGAAAGAGAACAGAAAGAAAGAGAGAACAGAAAGAGAGAGAGAACGATATAGAACAGGGAGAAAGAGAGAGAGAACAGGGAGAAAGAGAGAATAAACAGTGATAAAGATAGAGAGAACAGGAAAATAGAGATAGAACAGGGAGTAAAGAGAGAACAGGGAGAAGATAGATAGAGAACAAGGGAGAGGAAGAAGAAAATAGAGCCAGAAAGAGATAGAACAAAACAGAAGAGAAAAAAAAAGAACCAAAAGATAGTAGAAAACAGTAGAAGAACAAAATAAAGATAGAACATTTATAAGATAGTAACAGTTATAAAGAGAGATAACTAAGAGATAGAACAGTAAAGAGAGAACAATATAGAACAATATGAGATAGATACAGGGAAATAGATAGATACGAGAAGAACCCGATAAATAGAGTAGAATACAGAAAGAAGATAACTTTTGAAAAAGAAGAAAGAAAGTATAGAACATATAGAAAGCGAGATAACATAAGAGAAACATGAGAGAAACAAAATATGAGTATAACAGAGAATAAACACAGAAATAACAGAAAATAACAGAAAAATAGAAGAACAAAGAAATAATATACAGTTATAATATATAACAAAAGTATAGAACATAATATAGAGAACAAAATTATATATAACAGAAAGTATAATAAAACATAAAAACAGTTTAGTAAATAGATATGTAACTAAAATAGAGAATAAAAAGATAACAAAATATAACAGAAAAAATAACATAAATGAAAGATATAACAAAAAAATAGAACATAAATAAACAGATATATCAACTAAATATAATAAGATATATATAACATTTATAAATAGATATAACATAAAATAACATAATAATATAACATAAAAATAATAACATTATAAATATATAACAGAAAAAGTATATAACAAAAATCTATAACATAATAAATATATAACATAAAGAAAAATATAACAAAAGTAAATATATAACATTATATTAGTATATAACAAAACAGATCTAATATAAACATACTTAACTAATTATTAAACAAATATAACATAAATATATAATAACATAAATAAAATTAACTAAAAATCACAAAATAAATAATAACATTATATAATACACAAATATATATCATAAATATATATATCATAAAATATATAGAACAAAAGATATATATAACAAAATATAAATAGAACATATATAACATAAATAATATATAACATATAATATAACAAATAAATATATTAGAACATAAAGATAAATATAACATAAAGTTTATAACATAAATATATATATATACATTTAATTTATAGAAACATAAAGAAGAAGAAAACAAAACTAATATAAAACATATATAACAAATATATATAAACATATATAATATACAAAAGATATATATAGAACCAAAAATATATAGATAACATAATATTGATAACATAAATATATAATAACAGAAATAAATAATATAACATTTATAGTTATAGAAACAAAACATATATAATATAACATATATAAACATAAATAGATAGAAAAAATATAACAGAAATATATCTAGTAACAGAAATAAAATATAACAGAAAGAAATATAAACATTTATATATATAACAAAATAGATATGCTAAATATAGATATATAGCAAATATCGATAGTATAACAAATATATATAACAAAAATATATATATAACAGATATATAACAGATATAACATAAATATATATAATATAAAAATAAATATTAACAGAAAATAGTATCGAAACAGATATATATAACAAAATATATATAACATAATATAACATTTAAACATAAATATAGAACATAAATAAATATATAACAATAATAATATAAAAACAGTTATATATAATATTATATATAACATTATAGAAATATAACATAAAATATATAACATAAATATATAAAAATTTATATATATATAGATATAACAAAGATTATTTATATTAACATTTATATATATATAACATAAAAAAATAAAAATTTATCTATGATATATAGAACAAGATATAAAATATAACAAATATATATAACATTTAAAATATATATAACCTTATAAATATATATATAACATAAATATATATAACATATATAAATAGATATACATAAATATATAACATTTATGATATATAACAAAAAAACATTATATAACAAAATAGAACATAAAAAGATAGAAACATAAATAAATAAATATAAGAATAATAGATAACAAAATGATTATACATAAAATAAAAACAAAAGAAAAACATAAATAGAAATTATAACATATAATATATACAAGTGAGATAACAAACGAAAAAATAATAACATAAATAAATAACAGTAAGAAATATATAACATAAAGTAAAGAGAACAGAAATTAACATAGATATAAAAAAAAGATAAAGAAACAGAAATAAATAGAGATAAAATAAGAAAGAAAAAAAATATATAGAACAAAATAGATAAACAAAAAATAGAACTAACAGAGATAACAAGAATACATAAAATAATAGAAGATAGAACAAAATAACAGAACAATAGAGATAAACATAAGAGAACATATATAATGAACAATATAAGAACATAGATAGAGAAACATTAGAGATAACATAAAATATAAACTAATATTAACATATATATATAACAGGAATATAACAAAAATATATAACAAAAGATAAACAGAGAATATAAACATGTATAGATATACAGAGAACAAACTATTAGAGTTCATCGAGTGACTCAGTCTCACCCTTGAGCGCACAAAGGCTCAGCACGGTTCTGTAGCTAGGATGTGTACTGTACAGTGGACTGGGAGGAAGAGGATGTGTACTGTACAGTGGACTGGGAGGAAGTGGATGTGTACTGTACAGTGGACTGGGAGGAAGTGGATGTGTACTGTACAGTGGACTGGGAGGAAGAGGATGTGTACTGTACAGTGGACTGGGAGGAAGTGGATGTGTACTGTACAGTGGACTGGGAGGAAGAGGATGTGTACTGTACAGTGGACTGGGAGGAAGTGGATGTGTACTGTACAGTGGACTGGGAGGAAGAAGATGTGTACTGTACAGTGGACTGGGAGGAAGAGGATGTGTACTGTACAGTGGACTGGGAGGAAGAGGCATCTACATCTGCAGCCAGCATCAGGCCTTTTGTGTTGCTGGATGTCTCTTTATAAAATAATTCTGAAGAAATAGTATCCATGTGACCTAACAGCTCCTGATCAGTTGGTCTGTCAAACACATACAGACTAGAGCTGGGAGATATGGACAGAAATCCATATCCCGATAAATTGACTGAAGTTTATAACACTAATGTGCCCTACAGTTATTTATTTTACCATTAAAACGACTAGTTTGAATGCTATCAGTTGTCCCGTTAACAATCACCCATCTTAGCAAACATTTATTTCAAACTTCACATTTCTCTAGTAGGGCCCTAAGTTATTTATCGCAATGAAACGATATCAGCAAAATGTCCACGATAAGTCTAACAAACACACACCAACTCACACACACGGCCCTTCCATGGTTGAGTCTGCAAACGCCACAGTGATCACCAAGCCCTGATACATACACACACACACACACGGCCCTTCCATGGTTGAGTCTGCAAACGCCACAGTGATCACCGAGCCCTGATACATACACACACACACGGCCCTTCCATGGTTGAGTCTGCAAACGCCACAGTGATCACCGAGCCCTGATACATACACACACACGGTCAGATGTTTACACAACAGTATTAACCCCAATCCTGAAAATAATATTCAGTTCTGCCAAAGACAATTCAGTTCTGCCAAAGACAACCAATGTAGCCTAGCAAGGGTCGGCACCAAGCAGCCAAGACATGGCAATACATGTCAATACATTTGACTCTAGAGGACAGGTCATTAGACTCTAGAAATAAAGAAAAGGCTAAATCACCCCCCCTCCCCCTAGCAACAGAATACTCCTGCAGCCGGTGGTTTCCATAGCAACAAGTGAGAGGGGGACCGAAGGGGATAATAAGGAGGAAGAATCAGAATCAGTAGACAGAGAGCTTTAAGACAGGGAGGAAAGGGCCTGTGATCACACACACTGTACCTTCAGGCCTACCTATCTACCATTCTGTCTTCTTCAGTGTGATCTGTCCCTCCAGGCCTAACTATCTACCATTCTGTCTTCTTCAATGTGATCTGTCCCTCCAGGCCTAACTATCTACCATTCTGTCTTCTTCAATGTGATCTGTCCCTCCAGGCCTAACTATCTACCATTCTGTCTTCTTCAATGTGATCTGTCCCTCCAGGCCTAACTATCTACCATTCTGTCTTCTTCAATGTGATCTGTCCCTCCAGGCCTAACTATCTACCATTCTGTCTTCTTCAATGTGATCTGTCCCTCCAGGCCTAACTATCTACCATTCTGTCTTCTTCAATGTGATCTGTCCCTCCAGGCCTAACTATCTACCATTCTGTCTTCTTCAATGTGATCTGTCCCTCCAGGCCTAACTATCTACCATTCTGTCTTCTTCAATGTGATCTGTCCCTCCAGGCCTAACTATCTACCATTCTGTCTTCTTCAATGTGATCTGTCCCTCCAGGCCTAACTATCTACCATTCTGTCTTCTTCAATGTGATCTGTCCCTTCAGGCCTAACTATCTACCATTCTGTCTTCTTCAATGTGATCTGTCCCTCCAGGCCTAACTATCTACCATTCTGTCTTCTTCAATGTGATCTGTCCCTCCAGGCCTACCTATCTACCATTCTGTCTTCTTCAGTCATGACGCCATCTGTCATTCATTTACATTATAGTCATTTAGCAGACGCTCTTATCCAGAGCGACTTACAAGAGCAATTAGGGTTAAGTGCCTTGCTCAAGGGCACAAATTCAGTCTTATGTACTATGATCATCCTCTCTGTTGAACTCATGTTCTACATTAAATCAAATGTATTTATAAAACAGTTTTTACATCAGCAGATGTCACAAAGTGCTTATACAGAAACCCAGTCTAAAACCCCAAAGAGCAAGCAATGCAGATGTAGAAGTATGGTGGCTAGGAAAAACTCCCTAGAAAGGCAGAAACCTAGGAAGAAACTTAGAGAGGAACCAGGCTCTGAGGGGTGGCCAGTCCTCTTCTGGCTGTGCTGGGTGGAGATAAGAGTACATGGCCATTAAGGCCAGATTGTTCTTGAAGATGTTTCATAATCACAGTGGTTGTAGAGGGTGCAACTAGCCAGCACCTCAGGAGTAAATGTCAGTTGGATTTTCATAGCCGAGCATTCAGAGGTCGAGACAGCCGGGGGTGGGGGAGCGAGAGGGAGTCGAAAACAGCACGTCTGGTGAACAGGTCAGGGTTCCATAGCCACAGGCAGGACAGCAGAAACTGGATCAACAGAACATTTCCTGTCTGATCTACTTGCCTGTCTGGGTTGTTGGGTTAATATCCGTGTAGTGGTGTGTGTGTTACCTCTAGCTGCTCATCCTCCAGCAGGCATATGACCAGTGTTCTGACGTCGTTGACGGCTCCCTGGTCGCTCATAAAGGTGAACAGGTTGTAGAAGACCATGATCTGTAGGTACGTCAGCACCGTGTAGCGAGCATGCCACGAACTGCTGCCTGCTATCTGGAATATATCATAACAATGTTAATTACAACATAACGGTAATGATCTGTAGGGACGTCAGCACTCTATAGCATGCATGCCACAAATTAATGTAACATAATCCAGACAGAACACCATCCAGTGTGTACCACAAAACTCACAGCCACTTCAAACAAACATTTTGCAGAGGCTCAGAGAGTTGTTAGAACCAGAGGCTTGACAATGGGGGGTTTGACCTGTTTTTGAACCTTTTCTCATTGGGGATTGCAGTGAATGGGTAAAGTGGTCGTAGATGAGTCAGGCCTGTTTTGTGTGTTTGTGTGTGCCTACCTCTTGCAGGGCCAGCAGGACCAGTGGTATCTGCTCTGTGTAGAGCAGTCCCTGGGACATCAGAGACAGACAGGTCTTAGCATCCCTCTTCAGCTCATCATAACTGTCATCATTCTCCACCGGAGCGATCTACAAGAGGAGACAGATGAGGGTTGTTATGATTCAGCCAGAGGATGACAGGCCTCCCCTCAGTCTGGTTCCTTTAAGGTTTCTTCCTTCCTTGACCCACCCACCTTGAACAGCAGGGGCAGCAACTGGAGCTGCTCTGGAACGGCCGTGGAGAAGGAGCGTCCAGCACTGGCCATCAGCCACTTGAGTACTGGAAACAAATACAAGACCTTTTTACATCGTATGCTCTGACGAAGGTCTTCAAAACTGAACGTTTGGCACATTCAATTACTGAAATCTGCATTGTGCCAGTGATCCAGTGTGCCGGGACTCTTTTCTCTGGCTTTACCCCTGGGTTTATTAACTCCATCAACTATATACCCCACCTGTCTTCAGTAGTTTGATGGCCTGAGTTAGGGGTCGTACCTGGGTTAGGGGTCGTACCCGTCTTCAGTAGTTTGATGGGTTAGGGGTCGTACCAGTCTTCAGTAGTTTGATGGTTTAGGGGTCGTACCTGTCTTCAGTAGTTTGATGGGTTAGGGGTCGTACCTGTCTTCAGTAGTTTGATGGGTTAGGGGTCGTACCTGTCTTCAGTAGTTTGATGGTTTAGGGGTCGTACCTGTCTTCAGTAGTTTGATGGGTTAGGGGTCGTACCTGTCTTCAGTAGTTTGATGGGTTAGGGGTCGTACCTGTCTTCAGTAGTTTGATGGGTTAGGGGTCGTACCTGTCTTCAGTAGTTTGATGGCCTGTGTCCTCTCGTCCTGCTCTCCCACATCGTTCTCCTCTACCACGTGGTTCTGGATCTCCTCGTCCCCCTCCATCAGGGGTTTGAGGCGCAGCAGCACCCGCTCTGTGAACTCCTTGATGCGGGGCGAGGCCGTGGGCTGGGTGTACGGCAAGTTGACGTCTATCATAAAGATGTAGGTGAGAACGCTGAAGAAGAGGAGGGAGGAGAGCGAGAGAGAAAGAGGAAGCAAAGGGAGATGAATACGTTTAGTTTAGTTAATTCATTTTCATGAATGAAAACATCTACATATTTGCATTTAGGCCTAAGTTTTGGATGTATTCCTCTTTTTCGACAGTGTGCTGGTCTCCACCTCTTTCAGTCCTTCTGGTTTTATATCAATAAATCCATGCAAACACAAAAATGTAAAAGTGGTGGTTGATATCAAGATCAGAACAAAAAAGCGTAAGGTTCTCTTGTCTTCTCTTGGAGAACCTGGTTGAAAAGTTATGGACATTGTATAAATGTTTACCTACTATGACTGATGTGTGGTTAGATACCTAGATGAATGAACTATGACTGATGTGTGGTTAGATACCCAGATGAATGAACTATGACTGATGTGTGGTTAGATACCCAGATGAATGAACTATGACTGATGTGTGGTTAGATACCTAGATGAATGAACTATGACTGATGTGTGGTTAGATACCCAGATGAATGAACTATGACTGATGTGTGGTTAGATACCTAGATGAATGAACTATGACTGATGTGTGGTTAGATACCCAGATGAATGAACTATGACTGATGTGTGGTTAGATACCTAGATGAATGAACTATGACTGATGTGTGGTTAGATACCTAGATGAATGAACTATGACTGATGTGTGGTTAGATACCTAGATGAATGAACTATGACTGATGTGTGGTTAGATACCCAGATGAATGAACTATGACTGATGTGTGGTTAGATACCCAGATGAATGAACTATGACTGATGTGTGGTTAGATACCTAGATGAATGAACTATGACTGATGTGTGGTTAGATACCCAGATGAATGAACTATGACTGATGTGTGGTTAGATACCTAGATGAATGAACTATGACTGATGCGTGGTTAGATACCTACAGTTGAAGTCGGAAGTTTACATACACCTTAGCCAAATACATTTAAACTCAGTTTCACAATTCCTGACATGTAATCCTAGTAAAAATTCCCTGTCTTAGGTCAGTTAGGATCACCACTTTATTTTAAGAATGTGAAATGTCAGAATAATAGTAGAGATAATTATTTATTTCAGCTTTTATTTATTTCATCACATTCCAAGTGGGTCAGAAGTTTACATACACTCAATTAGTATTTGGTAGCATTGCCTTTAAAATGGTTTAACTTGGGTCAAATGTTTCGGGGAGCCTTCCACAAGCTTCCCACAATAAGTTGGGTGAATTTTGGCCCATTCCGCCTGACCGAGCTGGTGTAACTGAGTCAGGTTTGTAGGCCTCCTTGCTCGCACACACTTTTTCAGTTCTGCCCACAAATGTTCTATAGGATTGAGGTCAGGGCTTTGTGATGGCCACTCCAATACCTTGACTTTGTTGTCCTTAAGCCATTTTGCCACAACTTTGGAAGTATGCTTGGGGTAATTGTCCATTTGGAAGACCCATTTGCGACCAAGCTTTAACTTCCTGACTGATGTCTTGAGATGTTGCTTCAATATATCCACATAATGCCATCTATTTTGTGAAGTGCACCAGTCCCTCCTGCTGCAAAGCACCCCCACAGCATGATGCTGCCACCCCCGTGCTTCACGGTTAGGATGGTGTTGTTCGGCTTGCAAGCGACCCCCTTTTTCCTCCAAACATAACGATGGTCATTATGGCCAAACAGTTCTATTTTTGTTTAATCAGACCAGAAGACATTTCTCCAAAAAGTACGATCTTTGTCCCCATGTGCAGTTGCAAACCATAGTCCGGCTTTTTTATGGCGGTTTTGGAGCAGTGGCTTCTTCCTTGCTGAGCGGCCTTTCTGGTTATGTCAATATAGGACTCGTTTTACTGTGGATATAGATACTTTTGTACCTGTTTCCTCCAGCATCTTCACAAGGTCCTTTGCTGTTGTTCTGGGATTGATTTGCACTTTTCGCACCAAAGTAAGTTCATCTCTAAGAGACAGAACGTGTCTCCTTCCTGAGCGGTATGACGGCTGCGTGGTCCCATGGTGTTTATACTTGCGTACTATTGTTTGTACAGATGAATGTGGTACCTTCAGGCGTTTGGAAATTGCTCCCAAGGATGAACCAGACTTGTGGAGGTCTACAATTTTTTTTCTGAGGTCTTGGCTGATTTCTTTTTATTTTCCCATGATGTCAAGCAGAGGCACTGAATTTGAAGGTAGGCCTTGAAATACATCCACAGGTACACCTACAATTGACTCAAATTATGTCAATTAGCCTATCAGAAGCTTCTAAAGCCATGACATCATTTTCTGGAATTTTCCAAGCTGTTTAAAGGCACAGTCAACTTAGTGTATGTAAACTTCTGACCCACAGGAATTGTGATACAGTGAATTATAAGTGAAATAATCTGTCTGTAAACAATTGTTGGAAAAATTACTTGTGTCATGCACAAAGTAGATGTCCTAACCGACTTGCCAAAACTATAGTTTGTTAACAAGAAATTTGTGGAGTGGTTGAAAAACGAGTTTTAATGACTCCAACCTATGTGTATGTAAACTTCCGACTTCAACTGTAGATGAATTAACTATGACTGATGCGTGGTTAGATACCTAGATGAATGAACTATGACTGATGTGTGGTTAGATATCTAGATGAATGAACTATGACTGATGTGTGGTTAGATACCTAGATGAATGAACTATGACTGATGTGTGGTTAGATACCTAGATGAATGAACTATGACTGATGTGTGGTTAGATATCCCAGATCAATGGTTAGATGTGGTTAGTGGCACTAAGCTGCTCTGGACAAGAGCATCAGCTAAATGACTAAACTTAAAATGTCAAAATGAAAAATGTTTGGTCAATGTGTGAAGGCGAGGTCCTACCTGCCGATGCGCTCGCGGACATTCTTGTAGACCTGTGTGAGTTTGGGCTCTAGGTACTGTAGCAGTCTGTGGAGCAGGTCAGGGACCCTCCACTCCTGTTGAGCCAGGCCTCCCTGCAGCACATACAGACGACTGGACAGGAAAGAGGAGAATTTAACACACCAAACCCTAACCCTCCTGTTGAGCCAGGCCTCCCTAACCCTAACCCTTCTGTTGAGCCAGGCCTCCCTAACCCTAACCCTTCTGTTGAGCCAGGCCTCCCTAACCCTAACCCTTCTGTTGAGCCAGGCCTCCCTAACCCTAACCCTCCTGTTGAGCCAGGCCTCCCTAACCCTAACCCTCCTGTTGAGCCGGGCCTCCCTAACCCTAACCCTCCTGTTGAGCCGGGCCTCCCTAACCCTAACCCTCCTGTTAATCCAGGCCTCCCTAACCTCTTACCCTCCTGTTGAGCCAGGCCTCCATAACCCTAACCCTCCTGTTGAGTCGGGCCTCCCTAACCCTAACCCTCCTGTTGAGCCGGGCCTCCCTAACCCTAACCCTCCTGTTGAGCCAGGCCTCCCTAACCCTAACCCTCCTGTTGAGCCGGGCCTCCCTAACCCTAACCCTCCTGTTGAGCCGGGCCTCCCTAACCCTAACCCTCCTGTTGAGCCGGGCCTCCCTAACCCTAACCCTCCTGTTGAGCCGGGCCTCCCTAACCCTAACCCTCCTGTTGAGCCGGGCCTCCCTAACCCTAACCCTCCTGTTAATCCAGGCCTCCCTAACCTCTTACCCTCCTGTTGAGCCAGGCCTCCCTAACCCTAACCCTCCTGTTGAGTCGGGCCTCCCTAACCCTCCTGTTGAGCCGGGCCTCCCTAACCCTAACCCTCCTGTTGAGCCAGGCCTCCCTAACCCTAACCCTCCTGTTGAACCAGGCCTCCCTAACCCTCCTGTTGAGCCGGGCCTCCCTAACCCTAACCCTACTGTTGAGCCAGGCCTCCCTAACCCTAACCCTCCTGTTGAGCCAGGCCTCCCTAACCCTAACCCTCCTGTTGAGCCAGGCCTCCCTAACCCTCCTGTTGAGCCGGGCCTCCCTAACCCTAACCCTACTGTTGAGCCAGGCCTCCCTAACCCTAACCCTCCTGTTGAGCCAGGCCTCCCTAACCCTAACCCTCCTGTTGAGCCAGGCCTCCCTAACCCTCCTGTTGAGCCAGGCCTCCCTAACCCTAACCCAGGCCTCCCTAACCATAATCCAGGCCTCCCTAACCATAATCCAGGCCTCCCTAACCATAATCCAGGCCTCCCTAACCATAATCCAGGCCTCCCTAACCATAATCCAGGCCTCCCTCACTCTAACCCTAACCCAGGCCAGGCCTCCCTAAACCAGGCCTCCCTATCCCTAACCCAGGCCTCCAGACGACTGGACAGGAGAGAACAATAAAACACAATAATTTGTTTCATGTCCAACGAGGAGAAAATTCTTGCCTCACAGATGTACACATTTTACACAGATTGTAACGGTTTTGACTTGAGGCATTTATAGGGGTGCCAGGTAGGTTGTGCCTACCAGAGAAAGCATAGGTTTCTCCTTTTAGTTCGGGAGGGAATGAGTCCCATCTGGTCCGTCAAGTCACACCAATACAAAGGACTTATGTAAAAGTCAAGATGGAAATATACTTTTCATAAACCCCTAAAAACCTTGGAAAGAACTTCAAACAAGTGTATTCTTTTGCTTGGTTGTATTCACAACATAAATGATCACACCCACCCACACACAACAATATAACAAATCAATGCACTTATGTTCATTTAGAAATGTCCTGTACCTCGGGCATAAAAAGAGTCCAGCCCGGTAAATAAGTTCCGTGGCTCAAGTGCCCTTAGTCCCGCAACGCTTGTCCGTAGCATAAACCCAGTATATTCATACCCTCAAAATAACACTTATTTTGTAACACAACTATAAAGCGTATCAAAGACTACCCAAAGAATAATACGTCCTCACAACTACATAAATCACAGTATACATCACCCCCAAACAAAGGAAATACCGTATACAAAAAGTTGTAGTCAGTCGGTCAGTCAGACAATCCGCCAACAGCCCTCCAGCGGAGGAAAGGCCACGAAAACCAACGGAGAGTTGTAGTCCACAGCGCACAGAGTGGATCCAATCCTGGGTAAACTCGCTTTAAGGCCACAAAACACACTGTAAGGCAACCAAACAAACGTCATGGCGAAGCTTCATGAACTGAAGGTAGTACACATCCTCCTTCAGGTCTCAATCACAACTTCTCTTTTGCGCAGCTGATGCTGGCTATTTAATGGGGAATTAAAGGGGAAGCGCCCTATTAGAAGGAGAAGCCTTGAGACGGTTCAGAAATATTCAGGGCCGTCACACACCCCCTCCCCTGGAAAAAGCCGACCATTGCCCGGGAAGGCAGATCTTGGTCGGGGAAACCGAGAAAGGTCTCCTCATCACTTTCCTCTTCAAAGATCTCCAGGACCTTGCGGCGCTCAATCTCCTCCAATTCCTCAGCCGAGGGGTAACAGGCCTTAAGGCGTGAGACATGGACAACGCGCATATCTTCACCTGTGTCCTCTTTCACCACTCGGTAGTTCAAAGGGCCCACCTGCTCCACAATCCTATATGGTCCTTGCCATTTAGGAGCGAGCTTGGCCGAGAAGAATTGTTCAGCTTTCGAGTAAGGATGAGAGCGAAACCACACCCGATCACGAAGCTGGAACTGCAGGTCTCGTCTGTTCTTATCATAATTTCTCTTCTGCTTGAGTCGAGCCTGGATCATGTTCCTTGAGACAAGAGCTCTCAAGTCGTGGAGATGGACTACCTGGTCATAGCAAGCAGCGTCTGGAGTAAGCTGCTGGGGCTGTAGCACCATATCCAAGGGTCCTCGGAGGAGACGACTTAGGTTCAGCTCTGCAGGTGTGACTCCAGTGGACTCTTGCACAGCAGAATTCAGGGCAAATCGAAACTCGTGAAGGTGCTTGTCCCAGTGTTTGTGCTGGGTCCCTACATAGGAAGCAACCATGGTCTTCAAGGTTCGATTTACTCTCTCAGTGAGGTTGGTCTGTGGGTGATAGGCTGTGGTCAACTTCTGTCTCAGGTTCCATCTTTGGCAGGTCTCTCCAAAGAGATCAGAGACAAATTGGGAACCTCGATCAGACAGAATGTAATCAGGCACTCCCCAGCGAGTCAGGATCTCTCTCGTAAGGATGTTAGAGACGGTCCTCGCTGTGGCCTGACGCAGGGCAAAGAGCTCAACCCACTTGGAATAGTAATCAACAAAAACAAGCATGTACACATTCTGATTGGAGCTTCTAGGAAATGGACCCATCAAATCCACTCCTAACATTTCCCAAGGTCGGGTAACCACAGTTTGCTGCAACTTGCCAGCAGGTTTTCTACCTTCTGGTTTGTACATTTGACAAACCTGACATTTTCGGATATGTGATTTCACATCCATGCTCAGATGTGGCCAGTACAGTAATGCTTGCAAACGTTTGTAGGTTTTGAACCTGCCCAAATGACCAGCTAATGGGTCTTCATGGAAATGTTGAAGCAGTTGAAGGCGTAGAGTTTCAGGTATGTATATTTGGTAGAGTGTTCTGTGAGGTAGTTGTACAACTCGGTAGACTTTGTCTTCAATGATGGTCAGCTTTGTGGTAGGGTTGACCATCTTTTCTTCATCTTCCAGGATAGTCTGGTACAAAGCCTGTACTTCGGGATCATCCTGTTGGGCTTTCCAAATGACCTCATCAGAGATGGGAAAGTCAGTTTTGGGTGAGTCTCGACTGCTAGACAGGACAGTAGCACATGTAAGATGAGGGCCACCATTACCACAAGCAGGAGCTCTGGATAAGGCATCTGGAACAGTGTTGTATTTTCCTTTCCTGTATTCTACTGCAAAGGTGAACTCTTGCAACCGTAGAGCCCATCTGATGAGCCTGGTGCTTGGTTTGTTGGTCTTGAACACCCACACAAGGGAGGAATGGTCAGTGACCACAGTGAAGTGTCTTCCCTCCAGGTAGTACCTCCACTTTTCCAAAGCCCAGACAACTGCAAGGCACTCTTGCTCGGTTGTGGAGTAGTTCCGTTCTGCTCCATTCAATGTCCGACTGGCGAACGCTAGCACTTCTTCAGTACCAAGTCCAGTCTGTTGGACTAGGACAGCACCAAGTCCAACATCACTTGCATCAGTGTAAACAACAAAAGGGAAATCAAAGTTGGGATGACCCAAAATGGGAGGGGTGACGAGGTGTCGTTTCAGGGTTTCAAAGGAGTTCTGGCACTCTGCCGTCCATCGGAATTTCGCTCCTTTTCGCTTCAACCCGTTGAGGGGTTCGGCCACCTGGGAGAAGTTCCACACAAACCGATGGTACCATCCAGCCATCCCAAGGAACCGTTGAAGGGCCTTGAGTGTGGTTGGCACAGGGAAGTCTTGTACAGCCTTGGTCTTTTCAGGATCCACATGAATACCATCACAAGACACAATATGGCCAAGGAACTTCAGGGAGGTTTGGCAGAAGTTGCTCTTCTTCATGTTCACTGTCAGACCAGCTTCTCTTAGCTTGTCCAACACTGCTTGAAGGTCTTGAAAGTGTTGCTCTCTGTTCTGGGAGTAGATAATTATATCGTCCAGGTAGACGAAACATATCTTCCCTTTGAGCTCACCTAACGCAATCTCCATGAGTCTTTGGAAAGTGGCAGGTGCATTCTTTAATCCAAAAGGCATCACCTTAAAGGAAAACAAGCCCTCAGCACAGACAAAAGCAGTCTTGTCCTTGCTTTCCTGGTCCATCTCAACCTGCCAATAGCCACTATTGAGGTCAAGGGTAGTGAACACAACAGCGCCAGACAATGACTCCAGGATCTCGTGGATGGTGGGAAGAGGATAGGCATCCGTCTGGGAAACATTGTTGGTCTTCCTATAGTCCACACAAAATCTAAGACCACCAGTCTTTTTTGGAATGAGGACAACAGGAGCAGCCCAGGGAGAGGAGGAACGTTCTATTATATCTTGTGTCAACATATCATTAATGAGTCCCTTTTGGATGATTAGCTTCGCTGGGGACAAACGATATGGCTTTTGCTTGATCGGCATTTCCTGTGTAAGGAATATTTTGTGCTTCAGGAGTCCGGTGCGTCCTAACTTTACAGTACACACATCAGCATTATTCTGCAGCTGTTCCAACAGCCTTAACTCCTCTGGCTGTTCCAGCTGAGCTCTTCTTACAGCCTGTAAAAGGAGATCCTCAGAAGGATTATCCAGGGTTAGTGGTACCGTAGCAACGGCAGAGAAGACTGCCACATTTAGACCCCAATCATGTAACTTTGTAACTTCTGATTGGAAGAAATGCTTCTTGCTCGGATTGTTTGGAAACCAGTAGCAATTGTGTGCGATATCAATCTGGACACCACTGAAGTACATGAAATCAATTCCCAACACGACAGGAAAAGCAAGGTTCTTGTTTTGTAGGATAACCGAAGGAATCATATAGGAGCGGTTACACAGGCGGAACTCCACCTCACTCCATCCAAGTGGTCGTTTAGCCGCACCGTCAGCCAGATACAGTGGACCTTCTGTCCACGGCTTCAAGTTGTATTTTGGACCTTCAACCTCCTTCCACAGTTTCTCATTGAGCAGTGTGTAGGATGACCCGGTGTCCAGGATGGCTCTTCCTGTCCATGGGCCTATGGACAGGGGTAACACCAGCTGGTGTGGGATTAACTGAAAGGAAGGGGATGTCGGCGGGGGGGCGTAGGCAGTGACTCTTGAGGTTTCAGCTCTGGTCAAAGCACCCAGAGTAGGATGGTCGTTCCTGCGAAGTGTGTTAGGGGTGTTGGCCTGTTGTGATTTGTGGTTTCTGGAAGGGTTTACTTGATACGGTCTTGGACATGTAGCTGAAGAATGTCCCTTTTGGCTACATCTCCAACAGAACATGGGAGGGGTCTTGGCTGGAGACTCTGGCTGTGGTTGATGATCTGGCTTGGGTAACTGTCTGGGTGTCTGTTTCTTTCTCTGTTCATATTGCTGTTGGCATTCTCTGTCCTTCTCGAACTGCTGTCCCAGGCGAACCAGTCCATCGACAGTGGTGACTCTTTCTCTGAGTTGACTGGCTAGTAGTGGGTTGATGTTCTTCAAGATCAACTTAATGACCTCTTCCTCCTCAATGCCAGGTTTCCACCTTCTGCACAGGGAGTGGTAACCGTATGCAAAGTCACGGATATTCTCATTCTCCCTTTGCACTCGATTCCTGACTCTGTCTGCCAGCTCATCTGTGTAGTCCTCAGACAGAAATGCAGAGGAAAACTTGGCCTCAAAGTCAGCCCAGGAGGTAGTGGTGAGACGTGCCACATCCCACCAGTCTCGAGCTGTCCCATGCAACACATTCCTCAATGTGGCAAGGAGTTCTTCGTCAGCCAGGGGATTGAGGGCAAGAAAGTCATGACATCTTTCCAGATACATTAGCGGATCAGGACTGTCATCCTTTTTCCCAAAGGTGGGAAATTGCAATTTAATGGGCATCGCTCCCACATGACGTCTACTCAAATCACCATGAACAAAAGAGCTAGGAGGGATTGAGGAAGTAGAGGGTGAGGGAGTTATGGGACCATGAAAATGAACACCAGGATGCATGGTGGATTGCATCCTGCAAGGGGTGGCTGCAGCATGGCCTTGTCTTGGCTGTTCTGAGGTGCCCGCTTGGCCCTCAGTGGTCTGAACAGAAGTGGACACAAGAGAAGCTCTGTGCAAGGAGTTGTGCCTAATGGAGGCCATGTCAACAGACACATCATCCAACATTTTAACACAATTAGAGAGCGCTGTCTGCAAGTGGTCTACAGTGTTAACCAGGGGAGAAAATACAGAATTGACGTCCTTGAGGACCTCAGTGTGATGATGTTGCAGGCGCCACTGGAGAGTGGCAGTGAGTTGGCTTTGTTGGTAGTCAAACTGCCTGTCCATGGCACCAGTAATTTCCTGTCTTCCACTCTCACTGAGCTCTGTCAGAGTGTGAGTTAGAGTACTCAGTGAGTTTCTGAATTCCATGGCACTCTGTTGTTGCTCTACACTCAGACATTTGAATTTATGATGGATTAGAGTTTGGAGATGTTGTTGAGTCTTACGAATATCAAGGATGTCACCTTGAAGTTGTAAGACTACAACCTCTGGAGATAAACCAGACAATGGAGTAAGATTGGGCGTCAGAGGGAGGGCTAGCTCAGTACCTTCACACAGATCCATGTCAATAAGTGAGTTACTAGTTAGACCTGTGGCCTGTGGTCCAGACTGAGCATTTAGATTCCCAGGGCTCTGGCCCACATCAACTCCATTATTTCCATTCACATTATGATTTGTATTGTTGGCTCGGTAGTCAGAATGGCCCTGTGTATTCCCATTGACAGGTAGGCTATGGATGAGCACATTTTCTTGTAGTGAATCCATTATTTTAATTCCACTCAAAAGATTTGCTTTGGTTAGTTCTCAATGTTGAGGTCCCATCTGGGGTGCCATTTTTTATGTAACGGTTTTGACTTGAGGCATTTATAGGGGTGCCAGGTAGGTTGTGCCTACCAGAGAAAGCATAGGTTTCTCCTTTTAGTTCGGGAGGGAATGAGTCCCATCTGGTCCGTCAAGTCACACCAATACAAAGGACTTATGTAAAAGTCAAGATGGAAATATACTTTTCATAAACCCCTAAAAACCTTGGAAAGAACTTCAAACAAGTGTATTCTTTTGCTTGGTTGTATTCACAACATAAATGATCACACCCACCCACACACAACAATATAACAAATCAATGCACTTATGTTCATTTAGAAATGTCCTGTACCTCGGGCATAAAAAGAGTCCAGCCCGGTAAATAAGTTCCGTGGCTCAAGTGCCCTTAGTCCCGCAACGCTTGTCCGTAGCATAAACCCAGTATATTCATACCCTCAAAATAACACTTATTTTGTAACACAACTATAAAGCGTATCAAAGACTACCCAAAGAATAATACGTCCTCACAACTACATAAATCACAGTATACATCACCCCCAAACAAAGGAAATACCGTATACAAAAAGTTGTAGTCAGTCGGTCAGTCAGACAATCCGCCAACAGCCCTCCAGCGGAGGAAAGGCCACGAAAACCAACGGAGAGTTGTAGTCCACAGCGCACAGAGTGGATCCAATCCTGGGTAAACTCGCTTTAAGGCCACAAAACACACTGTAAGGCAACCAAACAAACGTCATGGCGAAGCTTCATGAACTGAAGGTAGTACACATCCTCCTTCAGGTCTCAATCACAACTTCTCTTTTGCGCAGCTGATGCTGGCTATTTAATGGGGAATTAAAGGGGAAGCGCCCTATTAGAAGGAGAAGCCTTGAGACGGTTCAGAAATATTCAGGGCCGTCACACAAGATAAACAAACCAAGAAACGATCACCGACCCATACTCCATCTCTTCCATGCAGGACTAGTCATCTGAGCACATACGGAGCAGAATCAATACACCCTCCCATACTGAAACACCAAGACACTGTCTAGGATTACAATTAAAGGAGGCAAAGTTTCTCCTCACCAGGCATCTACGAAGGATCCCCCCTCCCCGTTGACTGGAGACTCCATCAGCATCTCAAACAGCCAGTGGAGCTTCCTGGGGTCTCTGCTCTCCTGTACAACACAAACAATCTAAGGTCAACGTCTGCTCTCCTGTACAATAACGACAACAAGGTCAAAGGTCAACAACATGGAAGCAGGAAATTAACAGACCAGGCAAGTACTAGACAGGAGATTCAGGAGGCTATTTCTGTCCTCAATTCTTCACTCCTCACCTTCTTCTCAAATGCATTGGAAGAGAAGAGCCAAGTTCCCCTCCCCTTCAGGCCTTCTCCTCTAATGTGTTTTGAGAAGGAAGCAAGGAGAGATGATGCAATTGGGAATCGAGGAACTACCAATTGAGAAAGAACCTGAAAGAAATGGACTGCTGAATGAGAGGGGGATGGGAGGGCTAGCAGCTTACACAGGCTGTGGCGATGCAGGTGCCCCAGTCAGCGTAGGTTTCTACAGTGATGTTGTTCAGAGCTATACGGATCAGAGGACACAGCAGCTCCCACAGACTCTCCACCTGGAATGGGAACATAGGTCAAAGGTCAAGGACTTAACAAATATTCAACTTTTATTTATCCAGGTAAGTCAGTTAAGAACAAATTCTTATTTGCAACGAGGACCTGGCAAATGGCAAGTGCAGATATGTAAAATACTGATTATAAGCATGGTGTGTGTGACCACGGAGTATGTCCCTCTCCTCTACCTTGCTATAGCTCCAGTGTGTTCATTCCTTCCTCTCCCCTACCTTGCTATAGCTCCAGTGTGTTCATTCCTTCCTCTCCCCTACCTTGCTATAGCTCCAGTGTGTTCATTCCTTCCTCTCCCCTACCTTGCTATAGCTCCAGTGCTTGCTGCCTCTGATCAGTCCAGAGGTGATCTCTGCTACACATCGCTGTTTGCTCTCGTGTGTGTCGGCCACCAGACGCTCCATGTGTGGTTTCAGCAGGGGCAGGAAGGCATCGTTGAAGTTCCGGAACAGACCCTGAGGAATAGAAGAGAGGAATAAAACAGAGTTAGGGAAGCCTGATTCTTAGCTAGTGTTGCAAAAATCACAAATCCTGGTTGGATGATACCGGATTTCCTGCCTATTCCGGGAAACTTCCAGCCGTGTTTTCTAGAAAACCGGGGATTTTAGAACGCTTGGTCACATGCTTGGTAAACAACAGGTGTATACTAACAGTGAAATGCCCTTCCCAACAACGCAGAGAGACATAATAGAAAAATAATAACAGGAGGAATAAAATAAAACACATAATAATAAATACACAATGAGTAACGATAACCTGTCTATATACACTACCAGTCAAAATAGGGCTATCTTCTGTATAACACCCCTACCTCGTCACAACACAACTGATTGGCTCAAACGCATTAAGAAGGAAAAAGATTCCACAAATTAACTTTTAAGAAGGCACACCTGTTAATTTAAATGCATTCCAGGTGACTACCTCATGAAGCTGGTTAAGAGAATGCCAAGAGTGTGCAAAGCTGTCATCAAGGCAAAGGGTGGCTATTTGAAGAATCTCAAATATAAAATATATTTTGATTTGTTTAACACTTTTTTGGTTACTACATGATTCCATATGTGTTATTTCATAGTTTTGATGTCTTCACTATTATTCTACAATGTAGAAAATAGTACAAATAAAGAAAAACCATTGAATGAGTAGGTGTGTCCAAACTTTTGACTGGTACTATACATGGGGTACCAGTACTAAGTCGACGTGCTGGGGTACGAGGTAATAACTTGTCTATATACATGGGGTACCAGTACTAAGTCGACGTGCTGGGGTACGAGGTAATAACTTGTCTATATACATGGGGTACCAGTACTAAGTCGACGTGCTGGGGTACGAGGTAATAACTTGTCTATATACATGGGGTACCAGTACTAAGTCGACGTGCTGGGGTACGAGGTAATAACTTGTCTATATACATGGGGTACCAGTACTAAGTCGACGTGCTGGGGTACGAGGTAATAACTTGTCTATATACATGGGGTACCAGTACTAAGTCGACGTGCTGGGGTACGAGGTCACTGAGGTAGATACTGTACTGTATGTACATATAACTAGGAATAAAGTGACTAGGCAACAGGATAGATAATAAACAGCAGCAGCGTACGTGATGAGTCATAAGAGTTATTATTGCGAAAAGGGTCAATGCAGTTAAATAGTTAATCAAATAGCTACCAAGACTAACTATTTAGCAGTCTAATGGCTTGGGGGTAGAAGCTGTTCAGGGTCCTGTTGGTTCCAGGCATCGGTACAGTTTGCCATGCGGTAGCAGAGAGAACAGTCTATGACTTGGGTGGCTGGAGTCTTTGACCATTTTTAGGGCCTTCCTCTAACACCGCCTGGTATAGATGTCCTGGGGGGCCCTTGCCAAATATTTTCAGTGTTGGCGTATGTGGAGAATGATAGATCCTTAGTGATGTGGACAGAGAAACTTCAAGCGCTCGACCCGCTCCACTACAGCCCTGCCGATGTGAATGGGGACATGCTCGGCTCTCTGTTTCCTGTAGTCAGCCCGTTTGTCTTGCTGACGTTGAGGGAGAGGTTGTTGTCCTGGCACCACACTGCCAGGTCTCTGACCTCCTCCTTATAGGCTGTCTCATCGTCGTCTGTGATCAGGCCTACCACCGTCGTGTCGTCAGCAAACTTGATGGTGTTGGAGTCGTGCGAGTCCACGCAGTCGTGGGTGAACAGGGAGTACATGAGGGGACTAAGCACACACCTGAGGTGCCCCCGTGCTGAGGATCAGTGCGGCGTATGGGTTGTTGCCTACCCTCACCACCTGGGGGCGTCCCGTCAGGAAGTCAAGGATCCAGTTGCAGAAGGTGTTCAGTCCCAGGGTCCTTAGCTTAGTGATGAGCTTGTAGGGCACTATGGTGTTGAACGCTGAGCTGCAGTCAATGAAAAGCATTCTCACAGCATGTCCCTCTTGTCCAGGTGGGAGAGGGCAGTGCGGAGTGCAATAGAGATTGCGTCATCTGTGGTTCTGTTGGGACGGTATGCAAATTGGAAAGGGTCCAGGGTGTCTGGGATGATGGTTTTAATGTGAACCATGACCAGCCTTTCAAAGCATTTAATGGCTACAGATGTGAGTTACCTTGGCGTTCTTGAGTACAGGGACTATGGTGGTCTGCTTGAAACATGTAGGTATTACAGACTGGGTGAGGGAGAGGTTGAACATGTCAGTGAAGAAACTTACCAGGTGGTCAGACCATGCTCTGAGTATGCATCCTGGTAATCCGTCTGGCCCTGAGGCTTTGTGAATGTTAGCCTGTTTAAAGATCCTACTTACATCGGCTACGGAGAGCGTGATCACACAGTGGTCTGGAACAGCTGGTGCTCTCATGCATGGTCCAGTGTTGCTTGAAGGTAGGCTTGCATCACTGTACAGCTCACAGCTGGGTTTCCCTCCGTAATCCGTGATAGTTTTCGAGCCCTGCCACATCCGACACTCGTCAGAGCCGGTGTAGTAGGAGTCCATCTTAGTCCTGTATTGACCTGTTTGATGGCTCGTCGGAGGTCATAGCGGGAGTTCTTATAAGCATCTCAGTGCGGATGTTGCCTGTAATCCATGGCTTCTGGTTGGGATATGGACATACGTTCACTGTGGGGACGATGTCGTAGATGCACTTATTAATAAAGCCGGTGACTAAATGTCAAGCCTCTGCCTCTAACCCTAGGAAGCTCTTTGCCACCTTCTCCTCCCTGCTGAATCCCCCTCCTCCTCCCCCTCCCTCATCCCTCTCTGTGGATGACTTCGTCAACCATTTTGAAAAGAAGGTTGACGACATCCGATCTTCATTTATTAAGTAAAATGACACAGCTGGTCCTGCTCACACTGCCCTACCCTATGCTTTGACTTCTTTCTCCCCTCTGTCTCCAGATGAAATCTTGCGACTTGTGACGGCCGGCCGCCCAACAACCTGCTTGCTTGACCCTATTCCCTCCTCTCTTCTCCAGACCATTTCCGGAGACCTTCTCCCTTACCTCACCTCGCTCATCAACTCATCCTTGACCGCTGTCCAAGTCCCTTCCGTCTTCAAGAGAGCGAGAGTTGCACCCCTCCTCAAAAAACCTACACTCGATCCCTCTGATGTCAACAACTATAGACCAGTATCCCTTCTTTCTTTTCTCTCCAAAACTCTTGAGCGTGCCGTCTCTAGCCAACTCTCCTGCTATCTCTCTCAGAATTACCTTCTTGATCCAAACCAGTCAGGTTTCAAGACTGGTCATTCAACTGAGACTGCTCTTCTCTGTGTCACGGAGGCTCTCCGCACTCCTAAAGCTAACTCTCTCTCCTCTGCTCTTATCCTTCTAGACCTATCTGCTGCCTTTGATACTGTGAACCATCAGATCCTCCTCTCCACCCTCTCAGAGTTGGGCATCTCCGGCGCTGCTCACTCTTGGATTGCGTCCTACCTGACAGGTCGCTCCTACCAGGTGGCGTGGCGAGAATCTGTATCCGCACCACGTGCTCTCACCACTGGTGTCCCCGAGGGCTCAGTTCTAGGCCCTCTCCTATTCTCTCTATACACCAAGTCACTTGGCTCTGTCATATCCTCACATGGTCTCTCCTATCATTGCTACGCAGACGACACACAATTAATTTTCTCTTTTCCCCCTTCTGATAACCAGGTGGCGAATCGCATCTCTGCATGTCTGGCAGACATATCAGTGTGGATGTCGGATCACCACCTCAAGCTGAACCTCGGCAAGACAGAGCTGCTCTTCCTCCTGGGGAAGGACTGCCCGCTCCATGATCTCGCCATCACGGTTGACAACTCCATTGTGTCCTCCTCCTAGAGTGCAAATAACCTTGGCGTGACCCTGGACAATACCCTGTCGATCGGTGACCCGATTCTGCAGGTTCATGCTGTACAACATTCGCAGAGTACGACCCTACCTTACACAGAAAGCGGCACAGGTCCTAATCCAGGCACTTGTCATCTCCCGTCTGGATTACTGCAACTCGCTGTTGGCTGGGCTCCCGGCCTGTGCCATTAAACTCCTACAACTTATCCAGAACGCTGCAGCCCGTCTGGTGTTCAACCTTCCCAAGTTCTCTCATGTCACCCCGCTCCTCCACACACTCCACTGGCTTCCAGTTGAGGCTCGCATCTACTACAAGACCATGGTGCTTGCCGACGGAGCTGTGAGGGGAACGGCACCTCCGTACCTTCAGGCTCTGATCAGTCCCTACACCCAAACGAGGGCATTGCGTTCATCCACATCTGGCCTGCTAGCTCCCCTACCTCTACGGAAGCACAGTTCCCGCTCAGCCCAGTCAAAGCTATTCGCTGCTCTGGCACACCAATGGTGGAACAAGCTCCCCCACAACGCCAGGACAGCGGAGTCACTGACCACCTTCCGGAGACACTTGAAACCCTACCTCTTTAAGGAATACCTGTAATAGTATAAATTAATCCTTCTTCCCCCACCCCCCATACCATTTTTTTTTTTAAAGGGGGTTGTACCACTGGCTATCATAAGTTGAGTGAACCAATTTGTAAGTCGCTCTGGATAAGAGCGTCTGCTAAAGGATGAAAATGTAAATGTGGTAAACTCCTCAATGCCATCGGATGAATCCCATAACATTTTACAGTGTGTGCTAGCGAAACAGTCCTGTAGCTTAGCCTCCACTTCATCGGACCACTTCCATATTGGGCGAGTCACTGGTACTTCCTGTTTGAGTTTTTGCTTGTAAGCAGGAATCAGGACGCTAGAGTTATGGTCAGATTTGCCAAAAATGGAAGGTGAGGGAGAGCTTTGTATGCATTTGTGTGTGTGGAGTAAAGGTGATCTAGAGTTTATTTTCCTCTAGTTGCACAGGTGACATGCTGGTAGAAATTAGGTAAAATGGATTTCAGTTTCCCCACATTAAAATCACCGGCCAATAGGAGCGCCGCCTTTGATGAGCATTTTATTGTTTGCTTATGGCCCTACACAGCTCGTTGAGTGTGGTCTTGGTTTGTTGTGATAAATAGACAGCTACAAATAAATTGATGAAAACTGTCTTGGTAAATACTATGGTCTACATCTTAGGTATTAAGGTATTCTAGCGAGCAGAACCTTAAGATTTCCTTAATATTAGAGATCGCGCACCAGCTGTTGTTATCAAAGAGACACCTCCCCCTTGAGCTTACCCGAAGTTGCCGTTCTGTCCGATACATAGAAAAACCAGCTAGATGTATATTATCCATGTCCTTGTTCAGCCACGTCTCAGAGAAACATAGGATATTAGATTTATTCAGGTCCCGTTGATAGGATAGTCTCGAACTGAGCTCGTCCAGTTTGTTCTCCGGTGATTGTACATTCGCCAATAGAACGGAGGGTAGAGGCGGTTTATACTCGCCGACGTTGTTTCGTCAGTGTGCCCGCAGGTCGGCCTCTATAACACCGGCTCTTTCTCTTCAGAGTCGGGGATTAGGGCCTGGTCCGGGGTGAGCAGTATGTCCTGCGTCACCGACTCGTTGAAGTAGAATTCTTCATCCAAATCGAGGTTATTGATCACTGTTCTGATGTCCAGAAGTAATTTTTAGTAATAGGAAACGATGGCAGAAACATTACGTACAAAGAAAGTTAAGGTCAGTGCAAAACAAAAAAATACACAAAATAGCAGAATTGGTCAGAGCCCGTAAAGCGGCAGCTGTCCATTGCAGCGCCATTCCAACCATATTCTTGGCCTAAAAAAACTGTCTAGGTTTATCCTCAGAAGTCTTCCCTCGTTTACGTAGCTTCTATCTTTCATGCTCACCCTGTCTCCTTTAAAAACGGCAGAGGGAAGCAAGGAGACCATTTGAAGAGAGAACGCAAGGTATTAATGAGGGTTCAGGAAAGACCTTTGAGATTGGGTGAGTCTTAAATCCTGATTTGTGTCTCCCTCACCTTGAAGAGGCAGAACCTGCGGGGGCTGAACTTGTCCTTGCCCTTCCGGTCCTCCAGAGAGAGGAACTCAATCAGCTGGTTGATGAACGATGGGTCTGAGAAGTGGTCGTAGATGATCTGCTCTCGCTGGAGAGGGAAGAAACCAACAGTTATACCAGTGGACCTGCGATATCACCAGCAGAGGATGTTACATACATTTTCAAACAGTGAGAGAATGCATTCCGATTCTCTACCCTTCAGCCAGAAGTGTGCAGTTGTCACTCGCGCTCATACATTTCAAAAGCATTGGATTGGAAGCATGCATGCCTGGAGGGAGTTTCCACCATATTCCTTACACTAATACATTCATTTTACATCCATGAGGGGGAGTGTAGGAGTGTACACTTAGGGACTAGGGTAGCGCATCGGACTGTGACCATGTTTCTGTGTGCGTGTCATCTCCTCACCTCGGTCATCTCCTCTCTGGTTAGTCCTTGTTTGGGCTGCTCCTCAGAAGGAGCGTACATCATGAGTTTCTGTGGCCAGCTGTAGTATCCCCAGTGGGTCTTCTCTACGAACGTACAGCCCTCCCAGTCCTGCTGGCTACGAGGCAGACTGCTACTGTTATACTGGAGCCACTGGTTATCAGGCCTGTCCCCTGCTATCAGACCAGCCAGCTCTTTCATACCACCTGGTAGAGAGGGAAGAGGAGGACGAAGGAGAGAGGGAGAGGTGGTGAGAGGACCATAAGACTACTGTTATACTGGAGCCACTGGTTATCAGGCCTGTCCCCTGCTATCAGACCACTTGGCAGAGAGAGGGAGAGGTGGTGAGATAAGCTGTATGTATCTGTTAAAGGGTTTGTACAGACAGTGGCAAGTGAAATTCAAGGACTTAAGTACTTTTTCAAGCACTAATATTTATTTTTAGGATCATCAATTTGTAATAGTTCATATTATGCAATTGTTTCTAGTCGCCACCAGATGGCAGAATATCACTACAACCTCGTAAAAGTAAATAACGTAGTATTCATCACCACCTTACAAGTTCTACTCAATAATACGTTGTTTCACTTACTTATTACATACATGAGTGGTAAGTCAGTACTGATGTTGTAATTTGAGTAGTGATGAGCAGAGTTTTGGTACATGCCTACTTAATAGCTACGAAAAAGCTTCTTGCTTCCGACTGGCAGCTTTAGTGTCGCCAGTCGGGAGAAGGGGGGAAGGCACGTGAACCGCCACCAGAATGGCAGGAGCACGGCTGCCGGTTGATAAAGCGGAAATATCGCGGGCGCCCCGTGAATGAGGCGATTGGCAAAAAAGCTCTGGAGGTTGTTACAGAGAAAAAGTTACTTAATGTAGAACCGGCACCAGCGCAGGATGCAGCGTTGAGTCTTTCCCCTTCACAATGTGGGTTGGTGGGGTCCAGTGATGTAGTGGCAAACAAAGGTGGTTAAACTACAATGAACAGAAATATCAACAGAACATGTAAAGTGTTGGTCCCATGTTTCATGAGCTGAAATAAAAGATCCCAGAAATGTTCCATATGCACAAAAGGTAAGATTGAATCTACATTTGCCCGGGATTTTAGCTATCGATGTGTCGTTTGGCGGCACCTAATCAGTCAATTCTGTACCTGCCTGGCTGAGTGGCAGTGTGGGTGGAATGAGCGATTTCGCCTGGCAACTACAGCGCGAAACACTTGAGGAAACAAAACTCGGTAGTCTGCATGGAAATTCATTTACAAGACCAATACATTTTTCTAATATTTTTCATAAATATATTTGATCATTTTTTGTTCTCCTTTCATTTTAATTCAAGTACTTTTCAAGTACCAACTTGATAAAATGTCTGATTTTCAAGGTATTCCAGTACTTGAATTTCAGAGTGCCAAATTCAAGTACTTTAAGCACCTCAAGCACCTTGTGCGAAAGCTGCTGTTATAAATCAGACCTGGGGTCAACTAGTATTTGTTTTCTTTCAAATACTTTGATTGAGCCTACCTGGAGTGCCAGATGGACAGGGTTTGCAATTTTGGGACTATTCCTTTTGTTCCATTGCGCCAGAGCAAGCACAATCAACCGCAGCTTGAAACAAATACTATTTAAACCCAGGTAAAGGGACTGGTGAGGAGACAAATTGCAGTTTACTTACAGAGCTTGTTGGGGCTGACTGGCACTTTTTTGTGTGGCCTCTTGAGTTGCTTCATGATCCCTGCCACGGCTGATATTGCCACCTAGTGGGGAAATAAATACATTTAAAAATATGTTTCTATATCTTACAATGAAATACCGTAATGCTAAAAGTCCTCAGCAGAGCTCAGAATTATGCATGCATGTATGATGTTTGAAGATAAATGTATATTTATGTGTGAAACGTCTCCGTAACGTTGTTGACTGCTGCCATCTTGAAGAGATCTCTTACAAAATTGATTGTATCTCAATGTAGTGAATGAAACTGAATGCATGACTGGGTGTCAGTGATTCTACACGTGCATGGACAGAGTGTATGGACAGAGTGTATGGACAGAGTGTATGGACAGAGTGTATGGACAGAGTGTATGGACAGAGTGCATGGACAGAGTGCATGGACAGAGTGCATGGACAGAGTGTATGGACAGAGTGCATGGACAGAGTGTATGGACAGAGTGTATGGACAGAGTGTATGGACAGAGTGTATGGACAGAGTGTATGGACAGAGTGCATGGACAGAGTGCATGGACAGAGTGCATGGACAGAGTGCATGGACAGAGTGCATGGACAGAGTGCATGGACAGAGTGCATGGACAGAGTGCATGGACAGAGTGTATGGACAGAGTGTATGGACAGAGTGTATGGACAGAGTGTATGGACAGAGTGGTTGCGGTGGCAGTGCCCACCTTGCGGACCAGGAGGGAGTCATGGTTGAGGCTCTTGACGAAGAAAAGGACAGCAGGGGAGGGGAGTGGGTGGTCGTCCCTCAGTAACAGAGACATGAAGCCAATGGCAATGTGCTCAAACTTCCAGGGCCTGCAACATAAAGCAGGGGTATTCAGGAGGTGGAAAACGTTTTGAAACAGAGAAGTACTGTCTGAAGTTCTCCAATAAGAACAGACATTTTCGTATTTAGTGAGGCGGAATGTTAAATGTTGCAGATTGAAATGTAAGAAATAGAGCAGACAGGATTTCCCTTTTCTAACGTCTGTCATCGACACGAGGTGACCCTACATGTTTCTGTCATCGACACGAGGTGACCCTACATGTTTCTGTCATCGACACGAGGTGACCCTACATGTTTCTGTCATCGAGACGAGGTGACCTTACATGTTTCTGTCATCGACACGAGGTGACCCTACATGTTTCTGTCATCGAGACGAGGTGACCTTACATGTTTCTGTCATCGACACGAGGTGACCCTACATGTTTCTGTCATCGAGACGAGGTGACCTTACATGTTTCTGTCATCGACACGAGGTGACCCTACATGTTTCTGTCATCGACACGAGGTGACCCTACATGTTTCTGTCATTGAGACGAGGTGAACCTACATGTTTCTGTCATCGACACGAGGTGACCCTACATGTTTCTGTCATCGAGACGAGGTGAACCTACATGTTTCTGTCATCGAGACGAGGTGAACCTACATGTTTCTGTCATCGAGATGAGGTGAACCTACATGTTTCTGTCATCGAGACGAGGTGAACCTACATGTTTCTGTCATCGAGACGAGGTGAACCTACATGTTTCTGTCATCGACACGAGGTGACCCTACATGTTTATGTCATTGAGACGAGGTGACCCTACATGTTTCTGTCATCGACACGAGGTGACCCTACATGTTTCTGTCATTGAGACGACGTGACCCTACATGTTTCTGTCATCGACACGAGGTGACCCTACATGTTTCTGTCATCGACACGAGGTGACCCTACATGTTTCTGTCATTGAGACGAGGTGACCCTACATGTTTCTGTCATTGAGACGAGGTGACCCTACATGTTTCTGTCATTGAGACGAGGTGACCCTACATGCTTCTGTCATTGAGACAAGGTGACCCTACATGTTTCTGTCATTGAGACGAGGTGACCCTACATGTTTCTGTCATTGAGACGAGGTGAACCTACTTGTTTCTGTCATTGAGGCAGTCCAGAAGTTCCCCAACCAGCTTGTCATATTTCCTGAGGGAGACAGAACAGTAGTATTTTGAAAAGTGGCTTGTACTGGGGACATTATAATGTAGACATAACTGAGGGATTGGTTTAACAATGGGAACTGCTAGACCTTTGCTAGTGTAATAATACACCAACACACATGCAAGTTTTTGTGAACAGTTCAACTGTATTGTAGTGTTTATTTATTAGAAGTGTCCAGTACTCTTCTTGCTGTTCCGATATAAAACATAGATATATACTCACTGTCCAGAGTCTAGGTTCTTACTGTTCCGATATAAAACATAGATATACAGTGAGAGAAAAAAGTATTTGATCCCCTGCTGATTTTGTACGTTTGCCCACTGACAAAGAAATGATCAGTCTATAATTTTAATGGTAGGTTTATTTGAACAGTGAGAGACAGAATAACAACAAAAAACATCCAGAAAAATGCATGGAAAAATGTTATAAATTGATTTGCATTTTAAATGAGGGAAATAAGTATTTGACCCCCTCTCAACCAGAAAGATTTCTGGCTCCCAGGTGTCTTTTATACAGCTAACGAGCTGAGATTAGGAGCACACTCTTAAAGGGAGTGCTCCTAATCTCAGCTTGTTCCCTGTATAAAAGACACCTGTCCACAGAACCAATCAATCAGATTCCAAACTCTCCACCATGGCCAAGACCAAAGAGCTCTCCAGGGATGTCAGGGACAAGATTGTAGACCTACACAAGGCTGGAATGGGCTACAAGACCATCGCCAAGCAGCTTGGTGAGAAGGTGACAACAGTTGGTGCGATTATATGCAAATGGCAGAAACACAAAATAACTGTCAATCTCCCTCGGCCTGGGGCTCCATGCAAGATCTCACCTCGTGGAGTTGCAATGATCATGAGAACAGTGAGGAATCAGCCCAGAACTACACGGGAGGATCTTGGATCTTGTCAATGATCTCAAGGCAGCTGGGACCATAGTCACCAAGAAAAACAATTGGTAACACACTACGCCGTGAAGGACTGAAATCCTGCAGCGCTCGCAAGGTCTACCTGCTCAAGAAAGCACATATACAGGCCCGTCTGAAGTTTGCCAGTGAACATCTGAATGATTCAAAGGAGAACTGGGTGAAAGTGTTGTGGTCAGATGAGACCAAAATCGAGCTCTTTGGCATCAACTCAACTCGCCGTGTTTGGAGGAGGAGGAATGCTGCCTATGACCCCAAGAACACCAACCCCACCGTCAAACATGGAGGTGGAAACATTATGCTTTGGGGATGTTTTTCTGCTAAGGGGACAGGACAACTTCACCGCATCAAAGGGACGATGGACGGGGCCATGTAACGTCAAATCTTGGGTGAGAACCTCCTTCCCTCAGCCAGGGCATTGAAAATGGGTCGTGGATGGGAATTCCAGCATGACAATGACCCAAAACACACAGCCAAGGCAACAAAGGAGTGGCTCAAGAAGAAGCACATTAAGGTCCTGGAGTGGCCTAGCTAGTCTCCAGACCTTAATCCCATAGAAAATCTGTGGAGGGAGCTGAAGGTTCGAGTTGCCAAACGTCAGCCTCGAAACCTTAATGACTTGGAGAAGATCTGCAAAGAGGAGTGGGACAAAAGCCCTCCTGAGATGTGTGCAAACCTGGTGGCCAACTACAAGAAATGTCTGACCTCTGTGATTGCCAACAAGGATTTTGCCCCCAAGTACTAAGTCATGTTTTGCAGAGGGGTCAAATACTTATTTCCCTCATTAAAATGCAAATCAATTTATAACATTTTTGACATGCGTTTCTCTGGATTTTTTTGTTGTTATTCTGTCTCTCACTGTTCAAATAAACCTACCATTAAAATTATAGACTGATCATGTCTTTGTCAGTGGGCAAACTTACAAAATCAGCAGGGGATCAAATACTTTTTTTCCCTCACTGTATACTCACTGTCCAGATTCTAGGTTCTTACTGTTCTGATATAAAACATAGATAGTGGGGAAAAAAAGTATTTAGTCAGCCACCAATTGTGCAAGTTCTCCCACTTAAAAAGATGAGAGAGGCCTGTAATTTTCATCATAGGTACACGTCAACTATGACAAACAAATTGAGATTTTTTTCTCCAGAAAATCACATTGTAGGATTTGTAATGAATTTATTTGCTAATTATGGTGGAAAGTAAGTATTTGGTCACCTACAAACAAGCAAGATTTCTGGCTCTCACAGACCTGTAACTTCTTCTTTAAGAGGCTCCTCTGTCCTCCACTCGTTACCTGTATTAATGGCACCTGTTTGAACTTGTTATCAGTATAAAAGACACCTGTCCACAATCTCAAACAGTCACACTCCAAACTCCACTATGGCCAAGCCAAATAGCTGTCAAAGGACACTAGAAACAAAATTGTAGACCTGCACCAGGCTGGGAAGACTGAATCTGCAATAGGAAAGCAGCTTGGTTTGAAGAAATCAACTGTGGGAGCAATTATTAGGAAATGGAAGACATACAAGACCACTGATAATCTCCCTCGATCTGGGGCTCCACGCAAGATCTCACCCCGTGGGGTCGAAATGATCACAAGAACGGTGAGCAAAAATCCCAGAACCACACGGGGGGACCTAGTGAATGACCTGCAGAGAGCTGGGACCAAAGTAACAAAGCCTACCATCAGTAACACACTACGCCGCCAGGGACTCAAATCCTGCAGTGCCAGACGTGTCCCCCTGCTTAAGCCAGTACATGTCCAGGCCCGTCTGAAGTTTGCTAGAGTGCATTTGGATGATCCAGAAGAGGATTGGGAGAATGTCATATGGTCAGATGAAACCAAAATATAACTTTTTGGTAAAAACTCAACTCGTCGTGTTTGGAGGACAAAGAATGGTGAGTTGCATCCAAAGAACACCATACCTACTGTGAAGCATGGGGGTGGAAACATCATGCTTTGGGGCTGTTTTTCTGCAAAGGGACCAGGACGACTGATCTGTGTAAAGGAAAGAATGAATGGGGCCATGTATCGTGAGATTTTGAGTGAAAACCTCCTTCCATCAGCAAGGGCATTGAAGATGAAACGTGGCTGGGTCTTTCAGCATGACAATGATCCCAAACACACCGCCCGGGCAACGAAGGAGTGGCTTCATAAGAAGCATTTCAAGGTCCTGGAGTGGCCTAGCCAGTCTCCAGATCTCAACCCCATAGAAAATCTTTGGAGGGAGTTGAAAGTCCGTGTTGCCCAGCGACAGCCCCAAAACATCACTGCTCTAGAGGAGATCTGCATGGAGGAATGGGCCAAAATACCAGCAACAGTGTGTGAAAACCTTGTGAAGACTTACAGAAAACGTTTGACCTGTGTCATTGCCAACATAGGGTATATAACAAAGTATTGAGAAACTTTTGTTATTGACCAAATACTTATTTTCCAACATAATTTGCAAATAAATTCATAAAAAATCCTACAATGTGATTTTCTGGAATTTTTTTCCTCATTTTGTCTGTCATAGTTGACATGTACCTATGATGAAACTTACGGGCCTCTCATCTTTTTAAGTGGGAGAACTTGCACAATTGGTGGCTGACTAAATACTTTTTTCCCCCACTGTATAAACTCACTATCCAGAGTCTAGGTTCTTACTGTTCCGATATAAAACATAGATATGAACGCACTGTCCAGAGTCTAGGATCATACTGTTCCCAAATAAAACACATATATATATATATATATATATATATATACTCACTGTCCAGAGTCTAGGATCATACTGTTCCTATATAAATCATAGATATGTACTCACTGTCCAGAGTCTAGGATCATACTGTTCCCATATAAAACATAAGATATGTACTCACTGCTCAGAGTCTAGGTTCTTCTCCCCCTGCTTCCTGATGCCCTCTGCTTCTTCTTGGTCTGAGGGGACAGGTTCCGGGGGCAGAGGAACGCCAGAGGTCTGGAGCTGCACTGCCACTGCACGGCACTCTGATGGGATCTACATTAGAGTTTAGAGTTAGTTTAATCATATATTATTATATATGTTATATAGGACTAGGTCCTTGGGCAGCCAGAGGTCTGGAGCTGCAGCACGGCACCGAATATACCAAACATTAGGAACACCTTCCCAATATTGAGTTTAATTTCTTTCAGTTTACAATCAGATCAAGTTGATGTCATTAAAACCCAGATGGTTGCAATGATCATTTCGACCAGTGGAAAGGCCGGAAGGGTGTCTTACCGCGAAGTCGATGCCGATGGTCTCGTACTGGCGATGGACCTTGTCAGCGAGGTCGTCGAACAGCCGGACGATGGAGGGCTTCTCCAGGGACATAGCTGAGCTGAGGCCTGAGCGGACGATGGCAGGCCAGGTCAGGGTGATGCAGTCCCAGTCATGCAGGTTGGCCAGGCACACCCCACTGTGGTTCCCCAAGAGACAGTACAACGCACCCTAGAGAGAGAGGAAGAAAGAAGAGAGGAGAGAGAGGAGAGAGGAGAGAGAGAGAAGAGAAGAGCGAGAGAGGAGAGAGGAGAGAGAGGAGAGAGAAGAGAGAGGAGAGAGGAGAGAGAAGAGGAGAGAAGAGAGAGGAGAGAGAAGAGGAGAGAGGAGAGAAGAGAGAGGAGAGAGAAGAGGAGAGAGGATAGAAGAGAGGAGAGGGGTGAGGAAGGATGAGGAAGACAATGAAGGATGGAGAATATAAGGATGTATATATAAGTATATATAAGGCTCAGTTATATTCAATTTTCTCCATTTATACTGAACAAAAATATAAATGCAACATATTCAAAGATTTTACTGAGTTACAGTTCATATAAGGAAAATCAGTCAATTGAAATAAATTCATTAGGCGCTAATCTATGGATTTCACATGACTGCGAATATACATATGCATCGGTTGGTCACAGACATCGTAAAAAAAAATTGGCCTCACAATGGGCCTCAGGATCTCGTCAGGGTATTTCTGTGCATTCAAATTGCCATCGATAAAATGCAGTTAACATTCAATTCTCTGGCAACAGTTCTGGTGGACATTCCTGCAGTCAGCATGCCAATTGCACGCTCCCTCAAAACTTGAGACATCTGTGGCATTGTGTTGTGTGACAAAACTGCACATTTTAGAGTGGCCTTTTATTGTCCCCAGTACACGCTGCACCTGTGTAATAATCATGCTGTTTAATCAGCTTCTTGATATGCCACACCTGTCAGGTGGATGGTTTATCTTGGCGAAGGAGAAATGCTCACTAACAGGGATGTAAACAAATTTGTGCACAACATTTTAAAGAAATTAGCTTTTTGTGCATATGGAACATTTCTGGGATTTTTATTTCAGCTCATGAAACATGGGACCAACACTTTACATTTTTTTTTTTTTTTTTGCGTTCATATTTCTGTTCAGTGTACATCCTATCAGTCAGTCAAACAGTCATTTAGTCAGCCGATTGATCAATGAATGATTCAATCAATCGATTGATCAATTAATTAATCAATGAATTGATCAATCAATTTGCAATAACCAGCCTTGACCGTGTGTGTGTGGACAAGATAAAATAGTTGTGGTGAGACAGGACAGAGAGTGAGACAGGACAGAGAGCGAGACAGGACAGAGAGCGAGACAGGGCAGAGAGCGAGACAGGGCAGAGAGCGAGACAGGGCAGAGAGCGAGACAGGGCAGAGAGCGAGACAGGGCAGAGAGCGAGACAGGACAGAGAGTGAGACAGGGCAGAGAGCGAGACAGGGCAGAGAGCGAGACAGGACAGAGAGTGAGACAGTACAGAGAGTGAGACAGAGCGAGACAGGGCAGAGAACGAGACAGGGCAGAGAACGAGACAGGACAGAGAGTGAGACAGAGAGCGAGACAGGACAGAGACAGGACAGGACAGAGAGAGACAGTCCTACTTTGAACTGCTGTTGTGTGACGTCGGAGCGGTCTGGCTCCAGGAACTCCAGCACGCGGGGGATCACGTCCCTGCAGCAGAAGTTATAGGTCCTCAGAGCCGTGAACAGCACACTCTGAGCCCGGCTACGCACCTGGAGGAACACACATGGGGGGGAGAGACACTTTCTTAATACATTTTCCTTGATTCCTTGCATCCTCTCTCCTCGCCACACATCAGAGAAGATCCACTGTCCAGACATAAAATTCTCCTCCAATGTGTTTTGAGTAACAATATATGATTTTACATATGCCATTTAGCAGATGCTTTAATCCCGGGAAGAGCCATGCTCTACCAACGTCTCGTTCACCACAGTAATGGTTTATTTACCTACTGGAGCTACTAAAACAAATGTGTGTGGTAGTGAACTCTAAAACGTGTGCGGTAGTGAAGTGGGCTAACCTGACTGTAGGTGCTGGTGGATAGCCTCAGCAGATCCTTCATCAGTTCCTGGTGGATACTCCTGTACTCACACCCTTCCACTGTTAGCTTACGAAGCTGGACAACACAAAACACATGACAGTTAAACAGCAGCTAGGTTACTACCAGGGGTAATATAAACTGACAGATTCTTCCAAGACAGCAGCACACTAGAGAATGGACAGCACACAGATAGAGACAGAGAAACAGAGACAGAGGTCCTACCTCGTGCTGTAGCATAACTCTGTCGATCAGAAGGGCTCTGATGTGCTGCTTCCTGCCATGAAGCTTTAGATGGAACAGGAGGAGAGACATGAGTGACCCCTATCTAGACCAAGGCTGGGCCCTATTCCCTATGTAATACACTACCTTTGGACCCTATTCCCTATGTAATACACTACCTTTGGGCTCTATTCCCTATGTAATACACTACCATTGGACCCTATTCCCTATGTAATACACTACCTTTGGGCTCTATTCCCTATGTAATACACTACCTTTGGGCTCTATTCCCTATGTAATACACTACCTTTGGGCTCTATTCCCTATGTAATACACTACCTTTGGACCCTATTCCCTATGTAATACACTACCTTTGGACCCTATTCCCTATGTAATACACTACCTTTTGGCTCTATTCCCTATGTAATACACTACCTTTGGGCTCTATTCCCTATGTAATACACTACCTTTGGGCTCTATTCCCTATGTAATACACTACCTTTGGACACTATTCCCTATGTAATACACTACCTTTGGACCCTATTCCCTATGTAATACACTACATTTGGACCCTATTCCCTATGTAATACACTACCTTTGGGCTCTATTCCCTATGTAATACACTACCTTTGGGCTCTATTCCCTATGTAATACACTACCTTTGGACCCTATTCCCTATGTAATACACTACCTTTGGACCCTATTCCCTATGTAATACACTACCTTTGGACCCTATTCCCTATGTAATACACTACCTTTGGACCCTATTCCCTATGTAATACACTACCTTTGGGCTCTATTCCCTATGTTATACACTACCTTTGGGCTCTATTCCCTATGTAATACACTACCTTTGGGCTCTATTCCCTACGTAATACACTACCTTTGGGCTCTATTCCCTACGTAATACACTACCTTTGGGCTCTATTCCCTATGTAATACACTACCTTTGGGCTCTATTCCCTACGTAATACACTACCTTTGGGCTCTATTCCCTACGTAATACACTACCTTTGGGCTCTATTCCCTACGTAATACACTACCTTTGGGCTCTATTCCCTACGTAATACACTACCTTTGGGCTCTATTCCCTATGTAATACACTACCTTTACACTACATTCATTCACTCAAGAGAAATGCAACTTAATTTGGGAGTGCTGATGGTCATTCAATCACACAAGTTCCACCATGGCCCCAGTATGGCGTCCTAGCTAGATCTCTCACCCTGTTCTCCATGGACTTCTTGACCAGGTTGAAGCTCTTCCAGCGAGAGTCAAACTCATGTTTTTGGGAGCCTTTGAAGTGTAGCAGGTCACTGATGATCTTGATGATGGAGAATAAAGACTTGGTGTCATCCTCTGAGTGCTCCAGAATGTGACCTGGGGACATAAAACAGAACAAACCGTTACATTGACATGAAGTGAAATGATCTGGATAGGTTTTAGGGGTGGTTGTAGATGCCTTTGTTTATCAGCTCTTCATGTGAAGACAGTGATAAGGTGGTGGACACAAAGATATTTAAAAAACCATTACAGGTATAGGAAGATGATCTGGACAGCTTCCCTGCACCTTAAGAGGCTGCTGCCCTATATACATAGACAGACATGGAATCACTGGCCACTTTAATAATGTTTACATACTGCTTTACTCATCTCATATGTATATACTGTATTCTATTCTACTGTATTTAGTCAATTCCACTCCGACATTTATATATTTCTAATTCCATTTTTTTACTTTTAGATTTGTGTATTGTTGTGAATTGTTAGATACTACTGCACTGTTGGAGCTAGGAACACAAGCATTTCGCTACACCTGCAATAACATCTGCTAAACATGTGTATGTGACCAATAAAATTTGATTTTACACTGTTAGTTACATTGGGACAGCTTTACACTGTTAGTTACATCGGGACAGCTTTACACTGTTAGTTACATCGGGACAGCTTTACACTGTTAGTGTTAAAAAAATCAAAATATATTTTATATTTCAAATAGCCACCCTTTGCCTTGATGACAGCTTTGCATACTCTTGGCATTCTCTCAACCAGCTTCATGAGATAGTCACCTGGAATGAATTTCAATTAACATGCTTGCCTTCTTAAAAGTTAATTTGTGGAATTTCTTCCCTTCTTAATGCGTTTGAGCCAATCAGTTGTGTTGTGACAAGGTAGAGGGGGTATACAGAAGATAGCCCTATTTGGTAAAATACCAAGTCCATATTATGGCAAGAACAGCTCAAATAAGCAAAGAGAAACGACAGTCCATCATTACTAAAGACATGAAGGTCAGTCAATACGGAAAATTTCAAGAACATTGAACATTTCTTCAAGTGCAGTCGCAATAACCATCAAGCGCTATGATGAAACTGGCTCTCATGAGGACATCCACAGGAATGGAAGACCCAGAGTTACCTCTGCTGCAGAGGATAAGTTCATTACAGTTACCAGTCTCAGAAATTGCAGCCCAAATAAATGCTTCACAGAGTTAAAGTAACAGACATCTCAACATCAACTGTTCAGAGGGGACTGTGTGAATCAGGCCTTCATGGTCGAATTGCTGCAAAGAAACCCCTACTAAAGGACACCAATAAGAAGAAGACCTGCTTGGGCCAAGAAACACGAGCAATGGACATTAAACGGGTGGAAATGTGTCCTTTGGTCTAGAGTCCAAATTGGAGATTTTTGGTTCCAACCGCCGTGTCTTTGTGAGACGCGGTGTGGGTGAACAGATGATCTCCGCATGTGTAGTTCCCACCGTAAAGCATGGAGGAGGTGGTGTGATGGTGCTTTGCTGGTGACACTGTCTGTGATATATTTAGAAATCAAGGCACACTTAACCAGCATGGCTACCACAGCACTCTGCAGCGATACGCCATCCCATCTGGTTTGGGCTTAGTGGGACTATCATTTGTTTTTCAACAGGACAATGACCCAACACACCTCCAGGCTGTGTAAGGGCTATTTTACCAAGAAGGAGAGTGATGGAGTGTTGCATCAGACGACCTGGCCTCCACAATCCCCCACCCTCAACCCAATTGAGATGGTTTGGGATGAGTCGGACGGCAGAGTGAAGGAAAGCAGCCAACAAGTGCTAAGCATATGTGGGAACTCCTTCAAGACTGTTGGAAAAGCATTCCAGGTGAAGCTGGTTGAGAGAATGCCAAGAGTGTACAAAGCTGTCATCACGGAAAATGGTGGCTATTTGAAGAATCTCAAATACAAAATATATTTTGATTTGTTTAACACTTTTTTGATGTCTTCACTATTATTCTACAATGTAGAAAATAGTAAAAATAAAGAAAAACCCTTGAATGAGTAGGTGTGTCCAAACTTTTGACTGGTACTGTACATTAGGACAGCTTTACACTGTTAGTTACATTTGGATAGCTTTATACGGTTAGTTACATCGGGACAGCTTTACACTGTTAGTTACATCTGGACAGCTTTCTACTGTTAGTTACATCTGGACAGCTTTACACTGTTAGTTACATCTGGATAGCTTTACACTGTTAGTTACATCTGGATAGCTTTACACTGTTAGTTACATTTGGACAGCTTTATACTGTTAGTTACATCGGGACAGCTTTACACTGTTAGTTACATCTGGACAGCTTTCTACTGTTAGTTACATCTGGACAGCTTTACACTGTTAGTTACATCTGGATAGCTTTACACTGTTAGTTACATCTGGATAGCTTTACACTGTTAGTTACATCTGGATAGCTTTACACTGTTAGTTACATCTGGATAGCTTTACATTGTTAGATCTGGATATGTGAAGAAATGCCGACTATAGCAGAAGAGGAGCAGAAGACACACTACAGTAGTTTCTGTTGGACATTCGATGATGACAGGACATAGTATCTGGCAGGTAGATGTGATAAGTGTCACTTATAAAAACAGTTGTTTGGATGGATGTGGTTCAATGTTAAGTGTGTTTGTGGTTGGAGAGGGAGAGAGGGGACAGTACTGGGGTTGAATTGTGGTTACAGAGACAGGAATGAGGGAGGGGACAGTACTGGGGTTGAATTGTGGTTACAGAGACAGGAATGAGGGAGGGGACACTACTGGGGTTGAATTGTGGTTACAGAGACAGGAATGAGGGAGGGGACACTACTGGGGTTGAATTGTGGTTACAGAGACAGGAAGGAGGGAGGGGACACTACTGGGGTTGAATTGTGGTTACAGAGACAGGAAGGAGGGAGGGGACACTACTGGGGTTGAATTGTGGTTACAGAGACAGGAAGGAGGGAGGGGACACTACTGGGGTTGAATTGTGGTTACAGAGACAGGAATGAGGGAGGGGACACTACTGGGGTTGAATTGTGGTTACAGAGACAGGAATGAGGGAGGGGGACACTACTGGGGTTGAATTGTGGTTACAGAGACAGGAAGGAGGGAGGGGACACTACTGGTGTTGAATTGTGGTTACAGAGACAGGAATGAGGGAGGGGACACTACTGGGGTTGAATTGTGGTTACAGAGACAGGAAGGAGAGAGGGGACACTACTGGGGTTGAATTGTGGTTACAGAGACAGGAATGAGGGAGGGGACACTACTGGGGTTGAATTGTGGTTACAGAGACAGGAAGGAGAGAGGGACACTACTGGTGTTGAATTGTGGTTACAGAGACAGGAAGGAGGGAGGGGACACTACTGGTGTTGAATTGTGGTTACAGAGACAGGAAGGAGGGAGGGGACACTACTGGTGTTGAATTGTGGTTACAGAGACAGGAAGGAGGGAGGGGACACTACTGGGGTTGAATTGTGGTTACATAGACAGGAAGGAGGGAGGGGACACTACTGGGGTTGAATTGTGGTTACAGAGACAGGAAGGAGGGAGGGGACACTACTGGGGTTGAATTGTGGTTACAGAGACAGGAAGGAGGGAGGGGACACTACTGGGGTTGAATTGTGGTTACAGAGACAGGAATGAGGGAGGGGACACTACTGGGGTTGAATTGTGGTTACAGAGACAGGAATGAGGGAGGGGACACTACTGGGGTTGAATTGTGGTTACAGAGACAGGAATGAGGGAGGGGACACTACTGGGGTTGAATTGTGGTTACAGAGACAGGAAGGAGGGAGGGGACACTACTGGTGTTGAATTGTGGTTACAGAGACAGGAATGAGGGAGGGGACACTACTGGGGTTGAATTGTGGTTACAGAGACAGGAAGGAGAGAGGGGACACTACTGGGGTTGAATTGTGGTTACAGAGACAGGAAGGAGAGAGGGGACACTACTGGTGTTGAATTGTGGTTACAGAGACAGGAAGGAGGGAGGGGACACTACTGGTGTTGAATTGTGGTTACAGAGACAGGAAGGAGGGAGGGGACACTACTGGTGTTGAATTGTGGTTACATAGACAGGAAGGAGGGAGGGGACACTACTGGGGTTGAATTGTGGTTACAGAGACAGGAAGGAGGGAGGGGGACACTACTGGGGTTGAATTGTGGTTACAGAGACAGGAAGGAGGGAGGGGACACTACTGGGGTTGAATTGTGGTTACAGAGACCAGGAAGGAGGGAGGGGACACTACTGGGGTTGAATTGTGGTTACAGAGACAGGAAGGAGGGAGGGGACACTACTGGGGTTGAATTGTGGTTACAGAGACAGGAAGGAGGGAGGGGACACTACTGGGGTTGAATTGTGGTTACAGAGACAGGAAGGAAGGAGGGGACACTACTGGGGTTGAATTGTGGTTACAGAGACAGGAAGGAGGGAGGGGACACTACTGGGGTTGAATTGTGGTTACAGAGACAGGAAGGAGGGAGGGGACACTACTGGGGTTGAATTGTGGTTACAGAGACAGGAAGGAGGGAGGGGACACTACTGGGGTTGAATTGTGGTTACAGAGACAGGAAGGAGGGAGGGGACACTACTGGGGTTTGAATTGTGGTTACAGAGACAGGAAGGAGGGAGGGGACACTACTGGTGTTGAATTGTGGTTACAGAGACAGGAAGGAGGGAGGGGACACTACTGGGGTTGAATTGTGGTTACAGAGACAGGAAGGAGGGAGGGGACACTACTGGGGTTGAATTGTGGTTACAGAGACAGGAAGGAGGGAGGGGACACTACTGGGGTTGAATGTGGTTACAGAGACATGAAGGAGGGAGGGGACACTACTGGGGTTGAATTGTGGTTACAGAGACAGGAAGGAGAGAGGGGACACTACTGGGGGTTGAATTGTGGTTACAGAGACAGGAAGGAGAGAGGGGACACTACTGGGGTTGAATTGTGGTTACAGAGACAGGAAGGAGGGAGGGGACACTACTGGGGTTGAATTGTGGTTACAGAGACAGGAAGGAGGGAGGGGACACTACTGGAGTTGAATTGTGGTTACAGAGACAGGAAGGAGGGAGGGGACACTACTGGGGTTGAATTGTGGTTACAGAGACAGGAAGGAGGGAGGGGACACTACTGGTGTTGAATTGTGGTTACAGAGACAGGAAGGAGGGAGGGGACACTACTGGGGTTGAATTGTGGTTACAGAGACAGGAAGGAGGGAGGGGACACTACTGGGGTTGAATTGTGGTTACAGAGACAGGAAGGAGGGAGGGGACACTACTGGTGTTGAATTGTGGTTACAGAGACAGGAAGGAGGGAGGGGACACTACTGGGGTTGAATTGTGGTTACAGAGACAGGAAGGAGAGAGGGGACACTACTGGGGTTGAATTGTGGTTACAGAGACAGGAAGGAGAGAGGGGACACTACTGGGGTTGAATTGTGGTTACAGAGACAGGAAGGAGAGAGGGGACATTACTGGGGTTGAATTGTGGTTACAGAGACAGGAAGGAGGGAGGGGACACTACTGGGGTTGAATTGTGGTTACAGAGACAGGAAGGAGGGAGGGGACACTACTCACGTAGCAACTGCCTCATCACTCTACAGATAGCATCTCTGTAGTTCTCTCTGGACACATCTGGAGGAGGAGAGTGTTTAGGTTTTACATTATAGAACATGCAAGCAAACATTTCTCTGGAACAATGAAAATCAACATATAGTTACTGCTGTCACCACAACAAGTGAGTGCTACAGCAAACTATGAAGGCTCTGACTATTTTGTCTGTTACCAAGGCCTCAGAATAATGACTATGAGCCAAAGCATTCATTTGAGGGACATTAGTACAACTCACCATAGGACATTCCTGTGAAGAGGTTGGTCTCACCCAGATTCACCATGCTAGTAACCCTGATGGAGAAAGAGAGGTTTTATAGATAAAACACACTGTGTTAAAACACTGACAATTATTGATGTAAAAAGGGCTTTATAAATACATTTGATTGATTAAGCTTGACTGTGTACTACTCACAGTTTAGGGATGGGCTCTCCTTGCAGCGGGGGCAACAGGCTTCCTGCTCCCAGAAGGCAGTGCTGTATGATGGACAAACTCTGTAGGACGTCATCCCTGAAAGATGGGATTACAATTACATGCAGGGTCCACAACACTGACTACACATGATAAAGCAGAACTGGGTTGTCTTAAGTGGGGAGAAAACGTTTGAAACAGAGTAAACCACCTAAACTTGTCAGCAAGACAATAGCACACTTGGGACAACCGGGCACTACTTTGTTATTGGATTAGTGTAGAGCAGTGTTATGCTATCCTTACACCTGCACCCATCTACTCCACACTTAACCTGTCGTGGTCTGTTTAGTGTGCATTCACCTGGCAATGCCCTGGGTCGTAACTATTCATTAGGGCATATCGTAGCAAAACGTTTCGCAAATGAAAACAAAAATGTGTGTTTCTTATTGGACAAGTTTAGGAAGTCTTTCCCGTGTTTCAGTCCGTTTTCTTCTGTTTGATAACTGATGAATAGGAACCTCTCCCCCCTGTTCTTACTGCCTTCACACAGTTAGTTTGTTTGTCCCTCCTCACCTGGTCATGTCCTGTTCCCCCTGGGCGTATCTCTGCAGTCGCAGCAGCTCTGGCTGTAGGATCAGGTCTAGAACGTAGAACACAAAGCTGGTCTCCTCCACACTGGGGACGTGCCACTGGATGTTCAGGTTCCACAGGTCCCCCGGACGACCCCAGTCCTGGACACAGGGAGAGAAGGTTGAGATCAATATATAATAATATAATATAATATATAAATATATACAATGAGGGAAAAAAGTATTTGATCCCCTGCTGATTTTGTACGTTTGCCCACTGACAAAGAAATGATCAGTCTATAATTTTAATGGTAGGTTAATTTGAACAGTGAGAGACAGAATAACAACAAAGAAATCCAGAAAAACACATGTAAAAATAAATTGATTTGCATTTGAATGAGGGAAATAAGTATTTGACCCCCTCTCAATCAGAAAGATTTCTGGCTCCCAGGTGTCTTTTATACAGGTAACGAGCTGAGATTAGGAGCACATTCTTAAAGGGAGTGCTGCTAATCTCAGCTTGTTACCTGTATAAAAGACACCTGTCCACAGAAGCAATCAATCAGATTCCAAACTATCCACCATGGCCAAGACCAAAGAGCTCTCCAAGGATGTCAGGGACAAGATTGTAGACCTACACAAGGCTGGAATGGGCTACAAGACCAACGCCAAGCAGCTTGGTGAGAAGGTGACAACAGTTGGTGCGATTATTCGTAAATGGAAGAAACACAAAAGAACTGTCAATCTCCCTCGGCCTGGGGCTCCATGCAAGATCTCACCTCGTGGAGTTGCAATGATCATGAGAACGGTGAGGAATCAGCCCAGAACTACACGGGAGGATCTTGTCAATGATCTTAAGGCAGTTGGGACCAAAGGTCACCAAGAAAACAATTGGTAACACACTACGCCGTGAAGGACTGAAATCCTGCAGTGCCCGCAAGGTCCCCCTGCTCAAGAAGGCACATATACATGCCCGTCTAAAGTTTGCCAATGAACATCTGAATGATTCAGAGGAGAACTGGGTGAAAGGGTTGTGGTCAGATGAGACCAAAATGGAGCTCTTTGGCATCAACTCAACTCGTCGTGTTTGGAGGAGGAATGCCTATGACCCCAAGAACACCATCCCCACCGTCAAACATGGAGGTGGAAACATTATGCTTTGGGGGTGTTTTTCTGCTAAGGGGACAGGACAACTTCACCGTATCAAAAGGGACGATGGACAGGGCCATGTACCGTCAAATCTTGGGTGAGAACCTCCTTCCCTCAGCCAGGGCATTGAAAATGGGTCGTGGATGGGTATTCCAGCATGACAATGACCCAAAACACACGCCCAAGGCAACAAAGGAGTGGCTCAAGAAGAAGCACATTAAGGTCCTGGAGTGGCCTAGCCAGTCTCCAGACCTTAATCCCATAGAAAATCTGTGGAGGGAGCTGAAGGTTCGAGTTGCCAAACGTCAGCCTCGAAACCTTAATGACATGGAGAAGATCTGCAAAGAGGAGTGGGACAAAATCCCTCCTGAGATGTGTGCAAACCTGGTGGCCAACTACAAGAAACGTCTGACCTCTGTGATTGCCAACAAGGATTTTGCCACCAAGTACTAAGTCATGTTTTGCAGAGGGGTCAAATACTTATTTCCCTCATTAAAATGCAAATAAATTTATAACATTTTTGACATGTGTTTTTCAGGATTTTTTTGTTGTTATTCTGTCTCTCACTGTTCAAATAAACCTACCATTAAAATTATAGACTGATAATTTTTTTGTCAGTGGGCAAACGTACAAAATCAGCAGGGGATCAAATATTTATTTCCCTCACTGTGTATATATATATATATATATATATATATATATATATATATAATTGCCAGGGACCTTACAATAGGATATTATCACAATACTTACAGTGCCTTCAGAAAGTACTCACACCCCTTGACTTTTTCCACATTTTGTTGTGTTACAAATTGGGATTAAAATGGATTTTTCATTTTCTTCCAACAACCTACACAAAATACTCTAAAATAAACATTCTAACATTTTTTAAAGATTAATGAAAAATAAAACACTATAATATCTTGATTAAATAAGTATTCAACCGGAGTCGATACATGCTAGAATCAACTTTGGAAGCAATTACAGCGGTGAGTCTTTTTCGGTAAATCTAAGAGTTTTGCACACCTGGATTGTACAATATTTGCACATTCTTTTAAAAATTATTCAAGCACTGTCAAGTTCGTTGTTGATCATTGCTAGCCAGCCATTTTAAGATTTTAAAGCCGATTTAAGTAAAAAAAGGTAACTAGGCCACTCAGGAACATTCAATATCGTCTTGGTAAGCAACTCCAGAGTATTTATTTATTTGGCCTTGTGTTTTATGTTATTGTCCTGCTGAAGGGTGAATTAGTCTCCCAGTGTCTGTTGGAAAACAGACTGAAGCAGGTTTTCCTCCAGGATGTTGCCTGGGCTCTATTGATGTTTAGCTTTATTGCATTTATATTTATCCCCCCAAAAAACTCCCTAGTCCTTGCCGAAGACGACCATACCCATAACATGATGCAGACATCACTATGCTTGAAAATATGACGAGCGGTACTCAGTAATGTGTTGGATTTGCCCCAAACATAACACTTTGTATTCAGGACAAAAAGTTAATTGATATGCCACATTTTTTGCAGTTTTACTTTAGTGCCTCATTGCAAACAGGATACATGTTTTTTTGTACAGGCTTTCTTCTTTTCACTTTGTCAATTAGGTTAGTATTGTGGAGTAACTACAATGTTGTAGATCCATCCTCAGATTTCTCCTATCACAGCCATGCAACTTTTTTATTAATTTTTGGAGCAGGTTTTCATCAAGGATCTCTATAAAGGACCTGTGAACAACCCAGAGCAGCATCAACGCGTCATCGACGCTCGGCCTTGGGGCAAATCCTAAAGATGGAAGCACATGGTGCTATATAAAGGCTGAATCGGTACGTCACACACACAGGTGCACACAAATAAATACGTACACACACATAGAACCCCCCCCCCACACACACACACACACACACAAAGCCCTGCTTGTCTTGTAGTATGGAGACCAATCCTAAGAACAACAGACAAGACACCTTATCATCTAGTGCCATAGAAACTTTGATCCATTGAGCTGCCCTGGGCTGTGTCCCAATAATCTCTCCTTCCTCCTGAAGTGTGCACTCGTTTCACTACTCCCTACACATTTAAAATCATTGGATTGATTTAGGCATCAGGGAGTATCCATATACCAGTTATTTCCTTTCAAATCCATGAAGGGAAGTGAACAAGTGCACACTTCGGGAAAAAGGAGATGATGCCTCTACTGAGATGATATAATATGATGCCACTCAAGGCCATTCCATAGAGAGGGATAGAAGGCGCACTTGCCACTAAATCCTGTTTTAGCATGAGTGGCACCATGGAGGGATTTCAACGTGTAAAGGGACTTCCTATGGGCAAAGATAGGAGGTGTACCCTCTATCACTATGGGCCCTTCTCATTGACTAAGTGGACAGGGGGAGGGCTGCGGGAAGCCAGAGAGGGAGAAATAGAGGAGAGTTGTGTAACTGTCTGGCATGTTATGCCCTGGACCCCTCTACTAGTCTGGTTCCTTTGACACACTTTAGGGTGTTCACCTAGAAAATGATTAATTCATTCATTCAAGGTTTATACAAAACATGTCCATTCAATAGAGAATTGCGTCTGAAAAACAAGTCCAAACCCCATGTCTCTACCATATTTATGGTTCAAAAGTTAGACAATTTACTCTGAGAATCTAGCCTGTATAGAGTGAATGAAATGTAATCACAGGCATGATCAACAAGTGGTCACTGCTCCATAGAAATCTGTGGCGCTGCTTCGTGGCGCTAACTTCGAACGTCAACTGACAAGCTAACTAGTGGCTGCTGGTTCGTGAGTGAAAACATGGTATTTTTCTAAATGAAATCCACAGAATACAAAACAGGACTAAATATATATATATATTCATTTACATAGCTAACAGACCGAATTCCACTATCCACCCTCCGAAGACAATTTGTTCCTGTTTTCATGGTGTACGAGTCTTTCCCTCTAAGCGCCATAGAAACAGCCCCTCTCAACGTAGATTTAACCGCCAATATAGCCAATGAAAGCCAAGGATATGGAGATTACCCCTACCACCAACCTCTACATACCCCTACCACCAACCTTAGTACCTCCAATCCTGTACGTACCTTGATGGGCAGGTAGTCCTGTGTGGGCTGCTGAAAGCTTCCTGGTACACTGCAGTACTCTGTGGGGTAGATGAGGGCTGTAGACCTCAGGATATGATGCAGCAGGTTACAGGCCAGGGTGTAGCCCTGTTTACACTTCAGATGGAGGGTCAGCTGCAGGATCTGAACTAGCTGGGTACTGTAGGGGAGGATTTTGTCCCCGTCCACACGAGTCACCTGGGGAGGACAAGGAGACAACAGGAGGGAAGGAGGGTTAGGAGAGAACATACAGACCCCCCCTGTGTCCCTCAGGAGACTGAAAAGATTTGGCATGGGTCCTCAGATCCTCAAAAAGTTATACAGCTGCACCATCGAGAGCATCCTGACTGGTTGCATCACCGCCTGGTATGGCAACTGCTCGGCCTCCGACCGCAAGGCACTACAGAGGGTAGTGCGTACGGCCCAGTACATCACTGGGGTCAAGCTTCCTACCATCCAGGACCTCTATACCAGGCAGTGTCAGAGGAAGGCCCTAAAAATTGTCAAAGACTCAAGCCACCCTAGTCATAGACTGTTCTCTCTGCTACCACACGGCAAACGGTACCGGAGCGCCAAGTCTAGGTCCAAAAGGCTTCTCAACAGCTTCTACCCCCAAGCCATAAGACTCCTGAACAGCTAATCATGGCTACCCAGACTATTTGCACTGCCACCCCCACCCCCTTTTTTTTTACACTGCTGGTACTCTGTTTACAATTTATGCATAGTCACTTTAACTCTACCCACATGTACATATGACCTCAATTACCTTGACTAACCTGTGCCCCTGCACATTGACTCTGTACCGGTACCCCCCTGTATATAGCCTCCCTACTGTTATTTCACATTGACTGTACCGGTACCCCCCTGTATATAGCCTCCCTACTGTTATTTCACATTGACTGTACCGGTACCCCCCTGTATATAGCCTCCCTACTGTTATTTCACATTGACTGTACCGGTACCCCCTGTATATAGCCTCCCTACTGTTATTTCACATTGACTCTGTACCGGTACCCCCCTGTATATAGCCTCCCTACTGTTATTTCACATTGACTGTACCGGTACCCCCCTGTATATAGCCTCCCTACTGTTATTTCACATTGACTCTGTACTGGTACCCCCTGTATATAGCCTCCCTCCTGTTATTTCACATTGACTCTGTACTGGTACCCCCTGTATATAGCCTCCCTACTGCTATTTTTTTTACTGCTGCTCTTTATTTTATTTTTTATTTCTTAATTAACACTTTTTTATTTTACTTTTTTCTTAAAACTGCATTGTTGGTTAAGGGCTTGTAAGTAAGCATTTCACTGTAATGTCTACACCTGTTGTATTTGGCGCATTCTGTTCAGTAAGGCACAGAACGGAAAACGTTTGAAAACAAATTAGCTTTCTTATGGGACAACTTGAGGTGTTTTCCTGTTTGGTGTCTAGTCTACTGACAGGTGAAGGGAACAAGAGAATGTCTCAGTCAGTATGGACGCAGGGTGATGACCTCACCTCTGACAGTAGCTGAAGGTTCCATAGTAACTCCTTATCCAGTTCCTCCTCACTCAACACCTCCTCATCTGGAAATCAACAACCAAGAAACAGAGTGAGATACTCAGAAAGCAACTCAGAACAACGATCCATTGATTCCCACTTCTCCCCAACTCTAACCACTCCATATCAAATCCACAACAGTCTGAAATCAAGACCACATCCAGATTGGTTTTATAGCCCTCCACTTCAACAGAACACATCCAGAACACACGTCCTGCTTAGTGAGCACTTACTGACAGCGAGCTGGTTTATGGCATTGCAGCAGTGTGGTACCAAAAGCTTCAGAGACTGTGCTGGGTGAACCTTGGAGGCTGCTCTGCACATGTCAGCCACCATCCTGCCAGCCACACGAGTCTCAAAGATGTTGGTGGTGGCAAAGTTGAAGACCTTCTCCAGAGCCACCTGAACAACACAAATGAACCAAAGGATACAATCACATAATCATATGTATGTACGTATGTACGTGTGTGTGTGAAAAACGCAGGTGTACAGTGAGTTGTGTGTGTGAGAAAGACGTGGGTGTACAGTGAGTTGTGTGTGTGAGAAAGACGTGGGTGTACAGTGAGTTGTCCTACCTTGAAGATGTCTATGGAGCACTGTGTGAGGATGGTGTTGAAGGTAGAAGACAGTCCCAGCTCCACCAGGCTCTCCAGATGGGTCATCTTCTCTGTCTCCGTCTCCTCTCTGGTCTGCTCCAGAGTACTGCTGTCTATCAGGGCAAAACACCTGGAGGGACCCACACACACGCAGACCCACAGACACACACACACACCCACACGCAGACCCACACAAAGACCCACAGACCCCACACACACGCAGACCCACACACACACACGCAGACCCCACACACACGCAGACCCCACACACACACACGCAGACCCCACACACACACAGACCCACACACACCCACGCAGACCCACACACGCAGAAGCATACCCAGACACACACGCAGAAGCAGACCCAGACACACACGCAGACCCACACACGCAGACCCAGATCCACACACACGCAGAAGCAGACCCACACACACACACACACGCAGATCCACACACACATGCAGAAGCAGACCCACACACACGCAGATCCACACACACGTAGAAGCAGACCCACACACACACACACACGCAGACCCACACACACGCAGATCCACACACACACGTAGAAGCAGACCCACACACACACACACACACACGCAGAAGCAGACCCACACACACACACGCAGACCCACACACACGCAGAAGCAGACCCACACACACGCAGAAGCAGACCCACACACACGCAGAAGCAGACCCACACACACACACACGCAGACACACACACAGGCAGTTTACTACTATGCTGTTCCACTGATAATGTCTGCATGCACACAGACACACCTGAGTCCTGCATTGACTTCCTTCTCCATTCTCATACCTGTCCATGAACTGAAGAACAAAGTCCTCAAACTCTGCAGAGGCTGAGCACATCTCTCTCTCCACCTCTGTCAGGTCGCTCCTTTCATGAACAGCAGAGGAACAGTCCACCAAAGGCACAAGAGTAACAAACGTAGCAATGAATTGGAATGTTATCTGCAGAAAGGAAGGAGAGCACACTTAGACCTGCAACAAACACACACAGAGACACACACAGAGACACACACACAGAGACACACACAGAGACACACAGAGACAACTTCCAAATTGATGACAATCTCTGTACCCAAGCAACCCCAGTGTAGGAGGCCTACAAGAGCTTATTTCCTCTGAACTCTATTACCCACCATGCACTTGCTGAAGTCGTTGGGGTCAACCCCGGGCAGAGCCCTCATGAGGAGGGGCAGCATGTGTGTGGGCCCCTCGGGGAAGCGCTGGCCCCCAGACACCAGGCTGCGAGCCACGCCGATCATGCAGCTCAGGGTGGCAGTCAGCTGGTGGGGCTCTGTCAGGGTCTCCATAGCAGGGTAGGTTCTACAGAGGAAGACGAGATAAATTAGTGCTGGGCCACATATCCTCTCTTAACGTATACCGGTATGGATCCACATGCCGGTATGGATCTTTACAATACAGTCAATAACGATATAATAAATGAAAAGCTCTACTAATTGGACTACTTTACTGTCAGGTTTGTCCTAGCTTGGTTGGGTAGAAAACCATCAGCATGGAGAAAGCCTGTTAAAACCACTTAGGATTCACTTGTTGCCATCCTAGGGTCATTCACTACTCATACAAATTATTTACAACTTGTATTATATATAAACATAAAATACCACCATACAGTCAAATTAGAAAAATATTGTGATATGATATTCTGGCTATATCGCCCAGCCCTAACACAACGGTAGAGGAAACACTGCCCATTCCCTTCTGACTGACAAGCTTGATTTCACTCACTTCTCCAGCACTGGTGGTATTACCAGTTCAGGCCTCATGAGGGCCAGGTTCTGCAGGGCCTGAGCAGCGTCCAGACTGCCCGTCTTACTGAACATGGCCAGCAGCACCGGCTGCATCATACTCTCCACGAACGCCGTGATGTCTGCCTCCGTCAACTTGTGGCTGTCCGGTACCGGAGTGAGCCACGTGGGCTTCCGGTAGCGCTCCCGGTGGAGCCGTCGCACCACACTAGCCGGGAGGCGCTGCAGCAGCTTCATCAACTTCATCTGGGGACAGAGAGACAGGTACCAGGACATGAAGACAGAGACAGGTACCAGGACATGAAGACAGAGAGACAGGTACCAGGACATGAAGACAGAGACAGGTACCAGGACATGAAGACAGAGAGACAGGTACCAGGACATGAAGACAGAGAGACAGGTACCAGGACATGAAGACAGAGACAGGTACCAGGACATGAAGACAGAGAGACAGGTACCAGGACATGAAGACAGAGACAGGTACCAGGACATGAAGACAGAGAGACAGGTACCAGGACATGAAGACAGAGACAGGTACCAGGACATGAAGACAGAGAGACAGGTACCAGGACATGAAGACAGAGACAGGTACCAGGACATGAAGACAGAGAGACAGGTACCAGGACATGCAGACAGAGAGACAGGTACCAGGACATGCAGACAGAGAGACAGGTACCAGGACATGAAGACAGAGAGATAGGTACCAGGACATGAAGACAGAGAGACAGGTACCAGGACATGAAGACAGAGAGACAGGTACCAGGACATGAAGACAGAGACAGGTACCAGGACATGAAGACAGAGAGACAGGTACCAGGATGAGACAGAGAGACAGGTACCAGGACATGAACAGAGAGACAGTACCAGACTTGCATACAGAGACAGGTACCAGACATGAAGACAGAGAGATCGGGTACCAGGACATACGACAGAGAACAGTACCGACTGAGACAGATCGTACCAGGATGCAACATGAACAGGAGACAGTGACCAGGACATGAGACAAGAGACAGGTACCAAGACATGAAAGCAGAGAGAAGGTACCAGGACAGAAGACAGAGAGTACAGAGTGAAGACAAAGACGGTACAGAGACATAGCAGAGAGACAGGTAACCATGGGAGACATAGACAGAGAGACAGGACTATGCATTAGGACCGGACATGATACAGAGAGACAGGTATAGGACATAAGACAGAGAGACAGGTATCGGGACATGAAGACAGGTACCGGGACATGAAGACAGAGAGACAGGTGTGAGGACATGAAGACAGAGAGACAGGTGTGAGGACAGAGAGACAGGTGTGAGGACAGAGAGACGGAGACCGGGTTAGAGAGAAGCTGGCCGGGAGGCAGATATGAGGACATGAAAACAGACAGCTACGTGACACAGGGGTGTCAGACAGTGTGGTGATAGCGTGCCTTCCAGGGTTGAGGTAAACTCCATTTCATTTCAGTAAGTAATCTGAAATTGAGAACATCATGCCCTTAGAACCAATACCGTGTCAGCACATCATGGCCTTAGAACCAATAACCTGTAGGACATCATGGCCTTAGAACCAATACCCTGTCAGCACATCATGGCCTTAGAACCAATAACCTGTAGGACATCATGGCCTTAGAACCAATAACCTGTCAGGACAGCAGGACCTTAGAACCAATACCCTGTCAGGACAGCAGGACCTTAGAACCAATACCCTGTCAGGACAGCAGGACCTTAGAACCAATACCCTGTCAGGAGAGCAGGACCTTAGAACCAATACCCTGTCAGGAGAGCAGGACCTTAGAACCAATAACCTGTCAGGACAGCAGGACCTTAGAACCAATACCATGTCAGCACATCATGGCCTTAGAACCAATAACCTGTAGGACATCATGGCCTTAGAACCAATAACCTGTCAGGACAGCAGGACCTTAGAACCAATACCCTGTCAGGACAGCAGGACCTTAGAACCAATACCCTGTCAGGACAGCAGGACCTTAGAACCAATACCCTGTCAGGAGAGCAGGACCTTAGAACCAATACCCTGTCAGGACAGCAGGACCTTAGAACCAATACCCTGTCAGGACAGCAGGACCTTAGAACCAATACCCTGTCAGGACAGCAGGACCTTAGAACCAATACCCTGTCAGGAGAGCAGGACCTTAGAACCAATACCCTGTCAGGACAGCAGGACCTTAGAACCAATACCCTGTCAGGACAGCAGGACCTTAGAACCAATACCCTGTCAGGACAGCAGGACCTTAGAACCAATACCCTGTCAGGAGAGCAGGACCTTAGAACCAATACCCTGTCAGGACAGCAGGACCTTAGAACCAATACCCTGTCAGGACAGCAGGACCTTAGAACCAATACCCTGTCAGGACAGCAGGACCTTAGAACCAATACCCTGTCAGGAGAGCAGGACCTTAGAACCAATAACCTGTCAGGACAGCAGGACCTTAGAACCAATACCCTGTCAGGAGAGCAGGACCTTAGAACCAATAACCTGTCAGGACAGCATGGCTTTAGAACCAATTCCCTGTCAGGACAGCAGGACCTTGTGTCCCCCTCCCCACACCCCTAAACCAACAGCTAGCTAAGGGGCATAGAGAGACTGGCTTGCACAGAAACTCTTCTAAGTATAGATTCAGGTCAATTATTGATTTTGCACAGGTTTATCTCAGGTGAGTTGAACCCACACATTCTCAATAAAGACTGAAATATCTCCATCCCAGATCCAGTTCCCTAAGTGGGTGACAGAATGACAGATGTTGGGAATGTCAGTGGCTGGCCAAAGGCATTTTATTAATCCTAAAAAAGACCTGTGTCTTTCTACGTCACTATAGTGATGATGATTACATTACAGGTACATTGCTAGCTTACTTTAGCCGACTCAGGATGCATGGTACTTTTATATTGGACACAGATCACAAGAGCGTGAGATTGTCTGTTTCCATTCACCTAACACCTGAAAACGAATCAGGAGAACATCTCACGAGTTGCTGGGGTTTACCAGAAACGGTGTCACAACTCTACCTCCAGACCTAAGTTCAAATACTTTTAGCGTTTGCTTTAGCCTGCCTGGAGTGCAGGATGAGCATGGTGTGCATTTTTGTGACTATTCTATTGGTTCCATTGCGTCAGGCAAGCTCAATGGAGCCCAGGTTAAGTATTTGTAATGGTAATTGAACCAAGGTCTGAGTCCCTCTGCCATAAATAAAGGATTGTGTATGACTGTGAAGACAGCTTGCAGCCTGAGGCTCTGGTCTGATGACGGAGGGGGAATGTTTCTAGGAAATAATGGCTGACCTTTTATAGCACTGCTGGCAGCTGCCTCTCTCTTTCGTGTCATCTGGTCATTATTTCTGCATGAACGCTATGTACACAAACCCCTGGGCTTCTGGAGCAAGGAGAAGGGGAATGTGGGGCACGTTCAGATTATTGGGGACAGACAGAGAGCTAGTCGCTTTGACTGTGGTTGAGTATGCAGGTATGACAGTGCAACCAAAGGTTTGTTAGGGGAATGGGGTGCCTGTCTGGGTAAACATTGTAGAAGTGAGAGTTGCAGTGACTCACCAGCCATCGCCCATGGTTGGATGGGTGGAAGAAAGATGTGATGCTGTTGAAAAGGCCACTGAGCTGTGCCTGGGCTTGCTTACTGGGGCCTCCCTGCAATCACAGAAACAACAGATGCTTTACAACATGAAAAACTAAACGTACTACTCCATTAACACAACTATTATTCCATCGCGAGCCAATGCTAACTAGCATTAGCCCAATGACTGGAAGTCTACCGGAACAGCAGTCTCCAACAGAACAGCACTATCCTCATTTCGGGGTTTTACTGTGTTGTGATCTAGTATTGTTGGATTATTGTATTTTTCCCTCTCTAAAAATGATTTACTTCATTTCCATCAGTCAATTATACATGAAAACATTGAAATAAACTTGGATAAGAGCTATAAAAAGCATTGATTGGGCCACACTGATTGTGAACAGTGACTGACCAGTAAAGCGGAGACCCAGAGGACCACGTGTGCGACGTCGTAGGCGTTCGTCAGGTATCTGGGAACCAGCATCTGACTGGTCCCCACTGGGAGGTTCAGACTACGCAGGACTCTGGTGAAGATCTGGAATCAAAAAGGAGCAATCCATGTGAAGAAGATGAATACTTTATTGTCTAGTCATTGAATGCATTGTCCAATTACATTTTCTGATCACAGGATTTCATATTTTTGTGGGATCCATTTCATTACATCACATTTGAGATCAGGGCATGTTAGCCAATAACATATCAAAACATGCTGAAAGACATGTCGCAAGCCAGTAAGACCAACAGGGAAATGTGATACAGTAGTTAGTGCCACTAACAGGCAGAACTTTCAATGACTGTCTGGTCTAGTCTGCTATGACACGCACACCAACAACTAAGGTCACAGGTCAAATGCCGGGGGTAAGATTTCAGCATGTTGCAAAAACACTTGACACTCCCAACTGGCTCACTAGCCCTTCCCCTTGGCCCTAACCCTTCAACTGGCTCACTAGCCCTTCCCCTTGGCCCTAACCCTTCAACTGGCTCACTAGCCCTTCCCCTTGGCCCTTCCCCTTCAACTGGCTCACTAGCCCTTCTCCTTGGCCCTAACCCTTCAACTGGCTCACTAGCCCTTCCCCTTGGCCCTAACCCTTCAACTGGCTCACTAGCCCTTCCCCTTCAACTGGCTCACTAGCCCTTCCCCTTCAACTGGCTCACTAGCCCTTCCCCTTCAACTGGCTCACTAGCCCTTCCCCTTGGCCCTAACCCTTCAACTGGCTCACTAGCCCTTCCCCTTGGCACTAGCCCTTCCCCTTGGCCCTAACCCTTCAACTGGCTCACTAGCCATTCCCCTTGGCCCTAACCCTTCAACTGGCTCACTAGCCCTTCCCCTTGGCCCTTCCCCTTCAACTGGCTCACTAGCCCTTCCCCTTGGCCCTAACCCTTCAACTGGCTCACTAGCCCTTCCCCTTGGCCCTAAACCTTCAACTGGCTCACTAGCCCTTCCCCTTCAACTGGCTCACTAGCCCTTCCCCTTGGCCCTAACCCTTCAACTGGCTCACTAGCCCTTCCCCTTGGCCCTAACCCTTCAACTGGCTCACTAGCCCTTCCCCTTGGCCCTTCCCCTTCAACTGGCTCACTAGCCCTTCCCCTTGGCCCTAACCCTTCAACTGGCTCACTAGCCCTTCCCCTTGGCCCTAACCCTTCAACTGGCTCACTAGCCCTTCCCCTTGGCCCTTCCCCTTCAACTGGCTCACTAGCCCTTCCCCTTGGCCCTAACCCTTCAACTGGCTCACTAGCCCTTCCCCTTGGCCCTAACCCTTCAACTGGCTCACTAGCCCTTCCCCTTGGCACTAGCCCTTCCCCTTGGCCCTAACCCTTCCCCTTGGCCCTAACCCTTCAACTGGCCCTTCAATGTTATGCAGATCTATATTGCTTACACCTTATAGATCAGTAAACATCAGTGTTAAGGCCAAGGGAATAGGGGTAGGGAGTGACCTGGGACCTGCTAGAAGAGACCCATGGGGTGGTTCTATAGGCACAGCTAGACAAATGATATTGATGGAGGAGTGTCCATACCTTGGGTATATAAGGGTCCCAGTCAATGTAGCCAATGTTGTCGTTGGCCAAGCGGGCAAACAGGTTGACAAGATGCTGGGAAAAAAAACAAATGAATAAGGAAAACTTTAATTGAAGAATATCTAGCGAAGAGTTAAAAGTTCTGTCTCTATCAATAGGAATGTTGGAAACTGTCCTACAATAGCCTGGTTCCAGATCTGTTTGTGCAGTCTTGCCAACTTGTCAAGACAGCACAAACAGATCTGGAACCAGGCAAGTACCACCACACACACACACATCAGTATGTCAATCAAGTGAATGTTGTCCAACTTACCACTTCCCAACCTGGAAGGTTCTGTACTGCCACCCACAAGCTGATGAGCTCATCAAACCACAACCTGGTGATCATAAAACAAACTGTCATACATACTGAAGCATACTGCACACACACACAATACATCTCATAACTGAAGCATACTGCACACACACACAATACATCTCATAACTGAAGCATACTGCACACACACAATACATCTCATAACTGAAGCATACTGCACACACACACACACACACAATACATCTCATAACTGAAGCATACTGCACACACACACACACAATACATCTCATAACTGAAGCATACTGCACACACACACACAATACATTTCATAACTGAAGCATACTGCATACACAATACATCTCATAACTGAAGCATACTTCACACACACACAATACATCTCATAACTGAAGCATACTTCACACACGCACACAACACATCTCATAACTGAAGCATACTGCACACACACACAATACATCTCATAACTGTGGCATTTACACAGTGTTCATATTTGGCCTTTTATTAGAGAATAACATTTTGTGCTGGGGTAACATTGAAATGGTCATTTAAATCCAAGTTTTGGGATGTCGTAAGGTTTAAATATTCCGAAAACGTTCCTGTAATCAGAAGGGAATAAGTTGGGAGGGAATCCTCCGACTGGGATTTCTGAAAAACCTGTGTATTTTGGGAGAGTTTGTGTAATTATGCAACCCTATGATGAGATGGCAGAGGTGTGTGTTCTCACTTGAAGCCCTTGTGGTGCAGCTCTGGGGGAAGGGTGGTGGGGAGGAAGAGCTCAAAGTATCCTATAGCTCTCTGCATGGTCACATCAAATGGACAGAGCAGTGGACGCCACTCCTCCAACATCTCCTGGGTGGCCGACTCCGGGAAATACCTAAAGAATAAAATAAAATATCTTAATATGCATTTATAGTGCCATCATAAAGGCCTGTATTTATAGTGCCATCATAAAGGCCTGTATTTATAGTGCCATCATAAAGGTCTGTATTTATAGTGCCATCATAAAGGCCTGTATTTATAGTGCCATCATAAAGGCCTGTATTTATAGTGCCATCACAACGGCCTGTATTTATAGTACCATCATAAGGGCCTGTATTTATAGTGCCATCACAACGGCCTGTATTTATAGTGCCATCATAAAGGCCTTTATTTATAGTGCCATCATAAAGGCCTGTGTTTATAGTACCATAATAAAGGCCTGTATTTATAGTGCCATAATAAAGGCCTGTATTTATAGTGCCATCATAAAGGCCTGTATTTATAGTGCCATCATAAAGGCCTGTGTTTATAGTGCCATCATAAAGGCCTGTATTTATAGTACCATCATAAGGGCCTGTATTTATAGTGCCATCACAACGGCCTGTATTTATAGTGCCATCATAAAGGCCTGTATTTATCGTGCCATCATAAAGGCCTGTGTTTATAGTACCATAATAAAGGCCTGTATTTATAGTGCCATAATAAAGGCCTGTATTTATAGTGCCATCATAAAGGCCTGTATTTATAGTGCCATCATAAAGGCCTGTGTTTATAGTGCCATCATAAAGGCCTGTATTTATAGTACCATCATAAGGGCCTGTATTTATAGTGCCATCATAAAGGCCTGTGTTTATAGTGCCATAATAAAGGCCTGTATTTATTGTGCCATCATAAAGGCCTGTATTTATTTCTATTCTTGCTGATATGGCAATGGCATCAAATAAAATGTGTATATGAAACAATGGCAGTTAAGTTGGAGTTTCCTGATATAAAACAGCATCAGTTTAGCTAATGTAATCAGATAATGAGCAGTTGTGTGAACACATAACAGCAACAGCACTTTGAACGCAGAAGAGCAGTTTTGCAGGGCTTAAAACGAGCTATAGGTCAACAACTCCAGTTCTTTCTACCTACACATTCCAATTCAATTGAATAGCCGGAATACCCCAAATAATAACATGTACTACTATCCCGTTCCCTTCTCATGTCCTTCCCATAGCTTTGCAGTTGCAATTGATTTTCATTAAACTTCTTAACAGGCCGCTCTGCTGCTGAGTACTCCTGGCCCCAAAGCGCTCTCTCTCTCTCCCTCTCCTCCACCTCTCCCTCGGTCCCTACTTCTCTGCTGCTGAGTACTCCTTGCCCCAAAGCGCTCTCTCTCTCTCCCTCTCCTCCACCTCTCCCTCGGTCCCTACTTCTCTGCTGCTGAGTACTCCTTGCCCCAAAGCGCTCTCTCTCTCTCCCTCTCCTCCACCTCTCCCTCGGTCCCTACTTCTCTGCTGCTGAGTACTCCTGGCCCCAAAGCACTCTCTCTCTCTCGGTCCCTACTTCTCTGCTGCTGAGTACTCCTGGCACCAAAGCACTCTCTCTCTCTCTCTGTCCCTACTTCTCTGCTGCTGAGTACTCCTGGCACCAAAGCGTTCTCTATCTCCTCTACCTCGGTCCCTACATCTCTGCTGCAGAGTACTCCTGGCCCCAAAGGGCTCCCTCTGTCCTCCACCTCTCTTTCTGTCCCTACTTCTGCTCACAGTAACAGGAAACTCTACCAGGCCAGAATTAGATTGGCTAATACGATTAAGTCTCAGTTGCTACAGTAGCAAGCAACTCAGGGACTCAACTGAGTGAATAAGCTTCTTGACATGTGCACACACACAAAACTCTGCCACCCAGCCTGTTAGCGGTTACAATGCCCTGCTAATGAGTGATGTGCTAGTTTTGCTGTGGTGTGAAAGGAGTGTGTGATGGAGTCTGGAACCATGTCGTCCAAAAAGTTATACTTTTGAATCATCTGTCCATAGAACGTTCTTCCAAGAGTCTTGATGATCATCCAGGTGCTTTTTGGCAAACTTGAGTCAACCTTTTGGACGAGGTGGGTCCCATTATGCCTGGCGAAAACCAAACACTGCATTCCACAGTAAGAACATCATACCAAAGGTCAAGCATGGTGGTGGTGGTGTGATGGTTTGGGGATGCTTTGCTGCCTCAGGACCTGGACGACTTGCCTTAATAGAAGGAACAATGAATTCTGCTCTGTATCAGAGAATTCTACAGGAGAATGTCAGACCATCAGTCTGTGAGCTGAAGCTGAAGCGCAGCTGGGTCATGCAGCAAGACAATGATCCAAAACACACAATCAAGTCTACATGAAAATTGCTAAAAAGCAACAAATTGGAAGTTTTGGAATGGCCTAGTCAAAGTCCAGACCTAATCCCAATTGAGATGTGGCAGGACTTGAAACGAGCAGTTCATGCTTGAAAACCCACACGTCACTGAGTTAAAGCAGTTCTGCATGGAAGAGTGGGCCAAAATTCCTCCACAGCGACGTGAGACTGATCAACAACTACAGGAAGCATTTGGTTGGAGTCATTGCAGCTAAAGGTGGCACAACCAGTTATTGAGAGTAAGGGGGCAATTACTTTTTCACACAGGGGAATTGGGTGTTGCATAACTTTATGAAATAAATATGTAATTGTTGTGTTATTTGTTCACTTATATTCCCTTTATCTAATGTTAGGTTTTGGTTGAAGATCTGATAACATTCAGTATCACAAATATGCAAAAGTAGAGAAAATTAGAAAGGGGGCAAATACATTTTCATAGCACTGTATATCAGAATATATTCTTGCTTAGCATCCAGGGATGGAACTAGCTAGCATCATTTTGACAAATTGTCAGTCAGTAGGCCTAGGCTAAGTTTCTTCCTGACAGTTCAGTTTCACAGAATGTCCCTTATTGAATTCAGAGCCTTGGTTTGCATCTCTACTCCAGGTATATCATTCAATGGCAGGAGTGCTGAAGTAAGAATAAATGGATAACAGGCCATGTTGTAAGCAACCTCTTACAATGATACAATAACTCTTCAGATGATACTCCTGTGTTAGTGTTTACCACAAGTGTCTGAAGAGTAAATGCAACCATGAGCTCAGCAACAGAATTCATTAAAAAACACATACAGTATATGTCATATAGGGGTTTAAAAATATATACTTACGGTCTGCAGCTTTTCACAAGTGTCTTCAGAACGTTTTCCACCGAGCTTGGGGGGGGGGGAAGAGAGAGAGAGAGAGAGAGAGAGAGAGAGAGAGAGAGAGAAGAGAGAGAGAGGCGCGAGAGAGATAGAAAGAGAGAGAGAGAGAGGAGATAGCTAGAGAGAGAGAGAGCAGAGGAGATGCTCTCTATCCGAGATCTCTCGAGAGAGGCTATAGAGATCTATAGAGAGAGAGCTCTCTCGCTCGAGAGAGATATAGCACTCTCGTCTCTCGCTCTCTCTCTCTCGCTCTCTCTCGCTCTCTCTCGTCTCTCTCTCTCTCTCTCCTCGCTCTTCTTCTCTCTCTCTCTCTCCATGTCTCTCGTCTGTCCGATCCTCTCTTCTCTCATCTCTCTCTCTCTCTCTCTCTCTCTCTCTCTCTCCTCTCTCTCTCTCTCTCTCTCTCTCTCTCCTTTCTCCTCTCTCTCTCTCCTCTCTCCTCTCTCTCTCCTCTCTCGCGCTCCTCGTCTCTACTCCTCTACTCTCGTCTCCTCTCCGATCTCTCTCTCTCTCTCTGCTCTCTCTCATCGCTGCCTCTCTCCTCTTCTCTCCTCTCTCTCCTCTCTTCATCTCAGCTCCCTCTCTCGCGCTACGCGCTCTCCTTTTTTCTCCCGTCCGCCCCGCCCGCGGTTGCTCTTTGTTCTGTTATTTGAAAGAATGAGCACACTGAACACCCCAATGCAATTAGGATGAGGCTGACTGACTGCATGCAGGTACAGCCAAATCACTCTCATTGAAATTCCACGTATAGTACATGCTCATCAAAAGCGGTGCCTGAAATGTAATGACAAAGGTGCTGGCTTGGTTACTCACTTCAGGTGTGGTGCTCATTTTAAGTTTACAGCAGTGTTCATATTTTAGAGCAAGTATTTTGAACGAGGTGTCTGTAATCAAGCAGTAGAAAGACAAGTGTCTGTACCGGCTCAACTCAAGCACTGATCAAAAGTAAGGGATGTGAGGACCAGGTGTGTATATAGAAACAGCAAGGAAATCAGGGACACACAAACTGGCATAGCATGACAACAGGACTACAGAAACATACAGAAGTCATCGACTGTTCAACCTGGCGCCGACGAAGATGGCGGCCTCGCGACTAGCTCTTAGGAAACTTTGCAGTATTTTGTTTTTTTATGTATTATTTTTTACATTATTCGCTCAGAAAGTGTTTTGTATCATTACATACAGCAGGGGAAAACTATTGGATATCAGAGCGGCGGTAACTCACCAGCATTACGACAAGGAATACGACTTTCCCGAAGCAGATCCTTTGTTTGCTCTCCCCAGGGCAACTGAACTGATTCCAGCGGCTGACCCAAAACATCGCCGGCGGAGAAGAGGGACTCGGAGTGGCCTGCTGGTTCGACTTAGATGGCGCGCACACCACCCACCGCTCCCAAGTATACTACTCGCTAATGTTCAGTCTTTGGTGAACAAGATCGACGAACTCCGGGCAAGGATTTCTTTCCAGAGAGACATCAAGGCCTGTAACATACTTTGTTTCACGGAAACATGGCTCTCTTGGGATATTCTGTCGAAATCGGTCCAGCAAGAGGGGTTCTCAGTTCATCGCGCAGACAGGAATAAATCTCTCTCCGGGAAGCAGAAGGGCGGAGGTGTGTGTTTCATGATTACCGACTCATGGTGTAATTGTAGTAACATACAGGAACTCGAGTCCTTTTGTTCACCCGACCTAGAATTTCTCACAATCAAATGCCGACCGTATTCTCCCAAGAGAATTTTCCTTGGTTATAGTCACGGCCGTGTATATCCCCCCTCAAGCCGATACCAAGACGGCCCTCAAAGAACTTCACTGGACTTTATGCAAACTGGAAACCACATATCCTGAGACTGCATTTATTGTAGCCGGGGATTTTAACAAAGCAAATTTGAGGACTAGGCTGCCGAAGTTCTATCAACATATTGACTGTTGTACTTGCGCTGCCAAAATCCTCGACCATTGCTATTCGAACTTCCGGGATGGTTATAAGGCCCTCTCCCGCCCTCCTTTCGGCAAATCTGACCACGATTCCATTTTGCTCCTCCCTTCCTATAGGCAGAAACTCAAACAAGAAATACCCGTGCTAAGGATTTGTTTTAAAGAGTTTTATTAAAAATTCAGAGCGGAGGGGGGGGACGGACTTGGGGGAGGTTGTGATCTTTTCCGGGGGTTAAGCGTTCCGAGCAGTCAAGTAGGATGTTGGGGTCAAAAGAAGGAAAGGCGAGACTGGTAGAAGGGGAGGACAGACGTGTAAAAGGGATGGGGGTATTGCGCAAGGAGTTGTACGCCCTGCGGAGGGCCAGAGGGATGGTGTAAGGTAGGTGGAGTGATTGTGATGGTGCAAGACGCAGCTGGTGGACGTAGTATTAAAAAAAAAAAACAAGGGGTCGGGAATAAAAAAGCCCAGACTACGCATGTAGTTTACAAACCAAAAAACAATCAAAAAAAAACAACAATTAAAAACTGGACGTAGCCCTAAATAACCCTGACGATCGAAGAGAGGGTAACAGAGGAAGAGCCCAACTAATAATACGGGATAGGGACCTAAGGGACGAAAGAAGTAATCGCGATTAGGGGGGATAGAGAGTTTACCAGGAAGTGTATAGGTGATGTTGTGCCCACTGTGACTATTAAAACCTAGCCTAACCAGAAACCGTGGATAGATGGCAGCATTCGTGCCAATCTGAAAGCGCGAACCACCGCATGCAACCATGGCAAGGTGACTGGGAATATGGCAGAATACAAACAGTGTAGCTACTCACTCCGCAAGGCAATTCAACTGGCAAAGCATCAGTATAGACAAAGTGGAGTCGCAATTCAACGGCTCAGACACGAGACGTATGTGGCAGGGTCTACAGACAATCACGGACTACAAAAGGAAAACCAGCCACGTCGCCGACACCGACGTCTCGCTTCCAGACAAGCTAAACACCTTCTTCGCCTGCTTTGAGGATAACACAGTGCCACTGACGAGGCCCACTACCAAGGACTGTGGCCTCTCCTTCTCAGTGGCCGACGTGATTAAGACATTTAAGCATGTTAACCCCCGCAAGGCTGCCGGCCCAGACGGCATCCCTAGCCGCGTCCTCAGAGCATGTGCAGACCAGCTGGCTGGTGTGTTTATGGACATATTCAATCTCTCCCTTTCCCAGTCTGCTGTTCCCACATGCTTCAAGATGGCCACCATTGTTCCTGGACCCAAGAAAGCAAAGGTAACTGAACGAAATGACTATCGCCCTGTAGCACTCACCTCTGTCATCATAAAGTGCTTTGAGAGACTAGTCAAGGATCATATCACCTCTACCTTACCTGTCACCCTAGACCCACTTCAATTTGCTTACCGCCCCAATAGATCCACAGACGATGCAATCACCATCACACTGCCCTATCCAATCTGGACAAGAGGAATACCTATGTAAGAATGCTGTTTGTTGACTATAGCTCAGCATTCAACACCATAGTACCCTCCAAGCTCATCATCAAGCTCGAGGCCCTGGGTCTGAACCCCGCCCTGTGCAACTGGGTCCTGGACTTCCTGATGGGCCGCCCCCAGGTGGTGAAGGTAGGAAACAACATCTCCACTTCGCTGATCCTCAACACTGGGGCCCCACAAGGGTGCATGCTCAGCCCCCTCCTGTACTCCCTGTTCACCCATGACTGCGTGGCCAAGCACGCCTCCAACTCAATCATCAAGTTTGCAGACGACACAACAATAGTAGGCTTGATTACCAACAATGACGAGACCGCCTACAGGGAGGAGGTGAGGGCTCTGGGAGTGTGGTGCCAGGAAAATAACCTCTCACTCAACATCAACAAAACAGATGATCATGGACTTCAGGAAACAGCAGAGGGTGCACCCCCCTATCCACATCGACGGGACCGCAGTGGAGAAGGTGGAAAGCTTCAAGATCCTTGGCGTACACATCACCGACAAACTGAAATGGTCCACCCATTCAACAGAGCCTCTTCAACCTCAGGAGGCTGAAGAAATTTGGCTTGGCACCTAAAACCCTCACAAACTTTTACAGATGCACAATTGAGAGCATCCTGTCGGGCTGTATCACCACCTGGTACAGCAACTGCACCGCCCGCAACCGCAGGGCTCTCCAGAGGGTGGTGCGGTCTGCCGAACGCATTATCGGGGGCAAACTACCCGCCCTCCAAGACACATACAGCACCCGATGTCACAGGAAGGCCAAAAAGATCATCAAGGACATCAACCACCCGAGCCACTGCCTGTTCACCCCGCTATCATCCAGAAGGCGAGGTCAGTACAGGTGCATCAAAGCTGGGACCGAGAGAATGAAAAACAGCTTCTATCTCAAGGTCATCAGACTGTTAAATAGCCATCACAAGCACATTACATTTTAGTCATTTAGCAGACGCTCTTATCCAGAGCGACTTACAGTTAAGTGAGTGCATTCTTTATTATTATTAACTTTTTCATACTAGCCCCCGTGGGAATCGAACCCACAACCCTGGTGTTGTAAGCGCCATGCTACACGGGAATTGTCTTGGAGGCTTTATGTAAACAGTAGGGCTAGCCGTTAATACTTGTAATGAACGCTGACCTTGACAGTGGAGAGAGTTGGCCGAGGGTGCCTATTGTTTGAGCCGTTTTATCACCTAGCCTGACTACACAGTAAACATATCTTGGTTGTACTCATTAGGGCACATAAAGAAAAAACGGAAATTAGTGTTTCTTATTGGACAACTTCAAGTAGTCCCTCCCATATGAGCGTTTCTTATTGGACAACTTCAAGTAGTCCCTCCCATTCAGTCCATTTTCTTCCGTTTGTTACAGGCTTTGGTTTGATTACGGTTGGGCCTATTTCTGAACGTTACCATCATTATGAACAGCTTGAAAAGGTTAGTCACTCAACTCAGTGTCACATAACAATGTCAAAAGATTTAACTGAGACCAATATAACCCCAGCCGTTGAGCTCAAACACCCTCAATGCCCCTACCTTCCTTCCCCTCACACAACCTGAGCTCAAACACCCTCAATGGCCCTACCTTCCTTCCCCTCACACACCCTGAGCTCAAACACCCTCAATGCCCCTACCTTCCAGCCACTCACACAACCTGAGCTCAAACACCCTCAATGCCCCTACCTTCCAGCCACTCACACAACCTGAGCTCAAACACCCTCAATGCCCCTACCTTCCAGCCACTCACACAACCTGAGCTCAAACACCCTCAATGCCCCTACCTTCCAGCCACTCACACACCCTGAGCAAATCCAAAGCAGCATGACCAGAACAGATTACCAACGTCCCCAACACTCAACCCTGGGGAACCCCAAACCCAATGACCTTTAGAATACTGGGGTGAAACATCATGTGTTAATCACCCCCAAGTCATACCAGTACACCAGGGGTGAACATGATACAAGAGCTTCTCACTACTCTTAGCATGACTCTCACAG